CCGAAAAGCCACCTTTAACAAGTATTTACCAAATAAGTATCCAAGTACACAGTCCACTCCATTGATTTGCATTTCGTTGCATCACATTCACTGCTCAAAAGTTTTTCCCAGCTCCTTTGCCTGTATAAAATCTCATATCAAGCCCAGACTATGGCAATCTTGCTGCCTTTAAAAGTGCCATGAACCATTGGCAAAACATGAGTTAGCAGGTAACCGAAGGGCGAAAATACAAACACACAGAGTCAGACGGGCGGAGGCACTTGGACAGACTGCCGCAAGTGCAATATCAAGTCCAAAACTTACATCATCGCAACCAGAGAGGCAAGTGTGGTCGTCACTGCCGGTTATCCAATTAAAAGCAAAGATCAGGGATCTTTTTTTCCAGGCCAAGACGCATGACGCTGGAAAATATCTCTCCAGCGGCAGCACCAGAGTTTCCACCAGGCCAGACGCACGCGACATCTAGGAAATGGCAATCACATGACAACCAAGTTTTAGCTATGCAGAAAAATAGAAAAAATTCAACGGTGATGACTGGAAAATAGCTAGGGAAATATGTGATGAATCCTGAAGTGGAATATTGAAATATTATTCATTGAAAAATATAAACACACTCTAAGAACTGAAGGAGTATCCCCTTTTAAAATTGTGTAATATTTTTACTAATTTCATGTTCCTCAAATATGATAAATCTTTACTATATAATATCTAAAATTCAGCTCTCTTAACGCGTCAGCTGACTTGGCCAACGGGTTGCTTGGTTGTCCCAAGCCTCCGAGAGTGGAGAGTGAAAAGCGGTCATTTAGGCGTGGACTGGATGCGTGGTTTGAAAAGTGCGGGAATGGGGAATGTGTCTGTGGTGTGTGTGTGCGTGACAGGCGGAAACTTGTAATATTATATGCACGCCACAATTATGTAATGATCTTCATCACCAACGCTATAATATGTAGCCTTAAGTCGAGCAAGTGAATATTCGTATACATCTGTCAGTCATCCAAAACTCAACGAGGCGTTATCTTCTTCATTTCTTCTGTATTTCATGTGATAAAGGTACCTCCTGTGCGGTCGTCTCAGTAACTGGTCAGCTCTTGTATTGGCCCTGTTGTCTCTTTGGCCTTAATTGAGGCCAGACCTCAGAGGAACCTGCAACATGTGGCCGTGGTGGAGAATGCTGCCTGGGAACAGACACTGCCTCAGCAATTTCAGAATCCCTTTTACAAGACACCAAGAGTGAGGGATGCTTTGGCCAGATCCAGTTGGTTTGGACCCGGCGAGGAGGTGGTAAGTTGAGAGTATCATTAAGTATTTTTAAGTAACTAAATCGGAATAAGAATATAAGGTAAGAAAGTCTAAGTGGGTCAACATGTCGTATACGTAATATTTTAATAGAGCTTGACTTTGAGAAATTTTAAGATTTATGTAAGCTCTAAAGCCACACAAATAAGCAAAAATGATAAAGAATATTGTAATAAAGTGTTTGTTAATCAATTAACTACATTTTAAAATATTTAATTTATTTAAAAAGTTAGTTTCTAGCGTAATGAATCTTGAAAGAACAAAAACTGCACTTGCTTAAAACTCTTCCTATTTAAAATGAATTATTACCTTTATAAATCTTTTGAAAATGTAATTTATATACTTACTTAAATTATCTAAATAATTATACATTTTAATCATTATTTTTTAGGTTTATGACCGTCAGGCTGAAAAAATTCCACGCATGGAAATCTACAATGTGCTGTCGCATGCCGGCTTAATACCACGCCGGCGTTTCCTCTAAAACTAATATTAAATAATCCATAATCATTTATCTATTGTAAACTTTATAAAATAAAATCGAAGTCATTAGTTTAGGAATGAAAAAAGCGTAACTTTAACTTTGTTAATGAAAATAAGTTAGAAGAAACTTTTCAAACAGTCAAAAACTCTTTTAAATAATCCAATTCTATTCAATTATCTTATCCTTTCTAAATTAAAAAACTCTTTTGATTTTGTATTATAAACATTTTTGTCTTATACAAAAATAGAAGAATTTATTAGGGTCTTTATTAAAAACAACTAAATAGATTTGTTTACATTCATAACCTTAGCTTGGTGCTTTGTGCTGCCACAGACTTCAATCTATTGTCCAAAGCCTGCTCGTCAGCATCTTCTCCCGTTGGCTTTTCTTCTTCAGAATGAAATAAGTCGAGATTCGGGTCATTTTGCAATATAAAATTGGGAGCAGCAATAAGGAAGAATAATGCATTTAGGGTTCCTGGTCATTTTGGTTTATAATGATCATAAATACTTATACTTAATTTCAGCCAATTTATAAAAATGATATAATCTTAAATTATGTTCTTTATTAATATGTAACTTTAAAATGCAATTAAATTTGATCCTTTGATAGAGGAAATATTTTGATTTGCAGTGATATATCAATACTATATTAAATTTTACAATATAAAAGAAGAATTGGTTTAATATAATTAAGGAATTTTTCATCAATTTCTATATTTAAACGTTAAATTCGATTTGATGTATATTAAAATATATATGATATTTTTACCCTTGCAGAGTGTTTTATATTTTTAGTCAGTGAAGAAGTCATTTCTGACCCTATAAATCATATATATTTTTAATCAGAAGGAGCAGGCGAATTTTTCTAGCTTTATTAGAAAGAAATTTTTTTTGAATATTTTATCAGGGTTACTTCGTTAAAATGATCAAAAATTGGCAAAAAAAATTGTAAATTTTTAAATATTAAATTAAATATGCAGATATAAAGCTTCCCAAACTAACATAGTAACGTCAGAATTAAAATTAAAGCATTTTTGACTTAGTTATGAATTTTTTAATTTTAAAGATTTTATTTTAAACTAACCACTTCATATAAAACCTATAAATAAGGGCAGGTTCCCTTAAAAACTTCATTATATTTACAAAATGTCCTTCCGCAAACCCGAAAAGCCACCTTTAACAAGTATTTACCAAATAAGTATCCAAGTACACAGTCCACTCCATTGATTTGCATTTCGTTGCATCACATTCACTGCTCAAAAGTTTTTCCCAGCTCCTTTGCCTGTATAAAATCTCATTATCAAGCCCAGACTATGGCAATCTTGCTGCCTTTAAAAAGTGCCATGAACCATTGGCAAAACCATGAGTTAGCAGGTAACCGAAGGGCGAAAATACAAACACACAGAGTCAGACGGGCGGAGGCACTTGGACAGACTGCCGCAAGTGGCAATATCAAGTCCAAAACTTACATCATCGCAACCAGAGAGGCAAGTGTGGTCGTCACTGCCGGTTATCCAATTAAAAGCAAAGATCAGGGATCTTTTTTTTCCAGGCCAAGACGCATGACGCTGGAAAATATCTCTCCAGCGGCAGCACCAGAGTTTTCCACCAGGCCAGACGCACGCGACATCTAGGAAATGGCAATCACATGACAACCAAGTTTTAGCTATGCAGAAAAATAGAAAAAATTCAACGGTGATGACTGGAAAATAGCTAGGGAAATATGTGATGAATCCTGAAGTGGAATATTGAAATATTATTCATTGAAAAAATATAAACACACTCTAAGAACTGAAGGAGTATCCCCTTTTAAAATTGTGTAATATTTTTACTAATTTCATGTTCCTCAAATATGATAAATCTTTACTATATAATATCTAAAAATTCAGCTCTCTTAACGCGTCAGCTGACTTGGCCAACGGGTTGCTTGGTTGTCCCAAGCCTCCGAGAGTGGAGAGTGAAAAGCGGTCATTTAGGCGTGGACTGGATGCGTGGTTTGAAAAGTGCGGGAATGGGGAATGTGTCTGTGGTGTGTGTGTGCGTGACAGGCGGAAACTTGTAATATTATATGCACGCCACAATTATGTAATGATCTTCATCACCAACGCTATAATATGTAGCCTTAAGTCGAGCAAGTGGAATATTCGTATACATCTGTCAGTCATCCAAAACTCAACGAGGCGTTATCTTCTTCATTTCTTCTGTATTTCATGTGATAAAGGTACCTCCTGTGCGGTCGTCTCAGTAACTGGTCAGCTCTTGTATTGGCCCTGTTGTCTCTTTTGGCCTTAATTGAGGCCAGACCTCAGAGGAACCTGCAACATGTGGCCGTGGTGGAGAATGCTGCCTGGGAACAGACACTGCCTCAGCAATTTCAGAATCCCTTTTACAAGACACCAAGAGTGAGGGATGCTTTGGCCAGATCCAGTTGGTTTGGACCCGGCGAGGAGGTGGTAAGTTGAGAGTATCATTAAGTATTTTTAAGTAACTAAATCGGAATAAGAATATAAGGTAAGAAAAGTCTAAGTGGGTCAACATGTCGTATACGTAATATTTTAATAGAGCTTGACTTTGAGAAATTTTAAGATTTATGTAAGCTCTAAAGCCACACAAATAAGCAAAAATGATAAAGAATATTGTAATAAAGTGTTTGTTAATCAATTAACTACATTTTAAAATATTTAATTTATTTAAAAAGTTAGTTTCTAGCGTAATGAATCTTGAAAGAACAAAAACTGCACTTGCTTAAAACTCTTCCTATTTAAAATGAATTATTACCTTTATAAATCTTTTGAAAATGTAATTTATATACTTACTTAAATTATCTAAATAATTATACATTTTAATCATTATTTTTTAGGTTTATGACCGTCAGGCTGAAAAATTCCACGCATGGAAATCTACAATGTGCTGTCGCATGCCGGCTTAATACCACGCCGGCGTTTCCTCTAAAACTAATATTAAATAATCCATAATCATTTATCTATTGTAAACTTTATAAAAATAAAAATCGAAGTCATTAGTTTAGGAATGAAAAAAGCGTAACTTTAACTTTGTTAATGAAAATAAGTTAGAAGAAACTTTTCAAACAGTCAAAAACTCTTTTAAATAATCCAATTCTATTCAATTATCTTATCCTTTCTAAATTAAAAAACTCTTTTGATTTTGTATTATAAACATTTTTGTCTTATACAAAAATAAAGAATTTATTAGGGTCTTTATTAAAAACAACTAAATAGATTTGTTTACATTTATAACCTTAGCTTGGTGCTTTGTGCTGCCACAGACTTCAATCTATTGTCCAAAGCCTGCTCGTCAGCATCTTCTCCCGTTGGCTTTTCCTCCAGCTTTTCATTCTGTTCCAGCAGCGTTTTCCTGGTCGCCTCACTATCCTCTATGGCTTCAACATCAACATCCACATCCTCTTCATCAGCACTATCCGCATGTGACAGGCCATTGCCATTGATGGCACCACCATTGGTCAAGGCGGCATCTCCTCCTCCTCGTCCAGTTGCCGAGGAATGCCTTGAGGCACTATCTGATGGGATGAGCAGCGACTTGACAAATTCACTGCAAATGAGGCTCATGGCGGGCATCGTGTGGGCGGACAGATTGACAAACTGTAATCCAAAATAAAGAAATAAAACGATTAATTGGCATTGACCTTGGTGAAGTTCAAAAAGTGTGTTAGTAGTGGCAGTGCTGATCGGATTTTTGTGAATGGTGAAATATATGCAAATTAATTAATAAGAAAGTTTTTATTCAAAAAGAAACAAATCAAAAAATGTAAGAGTAAAATAAAAACAATATTTAAGCTAACTCTAATTGAAATAACTATCTTTAAACTTTCTTACAGTTCGTATTTTCGTAGCCAAAAACTATATAAACTGTATCTCATTTCATTGAGCTATAAAAAGGCTAAGCTCCCAACAATTTTTAGTTTTGGCGCTTGTACTTATTATTATGATATTTTTTTTGGGTGTCGAGATTGCGGTTCAAGTTCAGCTTCACGCGCTGGCAATGTTAATCACATGATTATTATTCGCTTTCGGTTTTTTGTCATTGCTGAGCGTCTTTTAAATGTCTAATGTTTTGTTTTGTTAACCTTCGCGCATGCGCTTGCGATGGCCTGTTTGTTATTGTTGCTCCATTTTAATGCAAAATTCAAGTAGTTCATGAAATTGGCAAAGACAATCGAAGTGCAAACACATCTTTTGAGTGTCAATCACTGAACAGGCCAGGCAAGTATGCAATTTGTATTATTGTTTTTCCAGGAAAACACACTCAGTGGCTCAGTGACTCAAACTGATTCTGGGGGACAATAAATCGCAAACACAAATTAGTTCATTTCGAAAGAACCGACTAAAACCAGAATAAACTCTGGAAAACAACGATAATTGGCAAAAGTAATTAAGGCAACCGAGTTACAATATTACACCTAGCAACAGTGCCAGCAAAATTACAGCGTCGGATAACAAAGCGCTCCCAATTATTGGCCCTCAAGCATAATAATCGAGTAATCGAGTTCGGGGGAGAAAAAAATGGTAAAGTAAAGTGTCACCGGCACGCAATGGAAAATGTTTGCCACACGCATAAAACAATAAATTGAAGGGGACAATGGATATTGCGGGAGGAAGGGGAGGGAAATGTGGCAATTCAATTTAAGAAACGTGGAAAAAAAAAATCGGGAAAGAAAATTATAAAATTATGCTTATGAAAAAAAACTAGGGAAGCCACTAAAGTAACAATAATTTATGCAAATCACAGAGACCGTAATTATTATTATTATTATTATTATTATTATTATACGTTTTTTTCGTTTAAAAATAGGTTTTTTGATATAAATGAAAAATTAATTAGAACTTTTGAAAATGATAACATGTCGTATACGTAATTTTTCTAAATATGGCTTGACGTATACGTAATTTTTGTAATAAAGTTTCGCTTTACAAATTTTAAGAACTAATTCAGCACAAAAGTTAAAATAAGCAAAAATAATAAAGAATAAAGTGTTTGTTACTATGTAATGATTTTTATATACCCTTTCAGGGTATTATAATTTCAGTCAGAAGCTTAAAACGCAGTGAATAAACCATTACCGAACCCATAAACCATATATATTATTGATCAGCATTAAAAGCCAAATCGATCTATGTCTGTAACAAATTTAATTTTTTGAAATTAAAAAATAAAAATTTAAGGGGGACATCGTTAAAAAAATTGTCAAAATTTGACAAAAAAAAATTAAATGTTATTAATGTATCTGATTAATAATGTTAGGAGAAATTTAGTAAAATTCTACAAAATAATTGCATATTCAATTTAAGAATTCGATTTGAGTTTTTGGAATATTTATTCATTATTTATTCTTCCCATTCCACTGTGCTCCAGTGGGCGGCAGTTCGGCTGCACCGACAAACCCCATTGACCATTCACAATAGACTCTAATGGCAAGTGCACAAACAAGAGAGAGAGCAAGAGAGCAGCGGTCACAATAATAACAAAACGAAGAGTTACGAGAGCGGGTCACGCACGATGACAAAGCCGAAGCCCGAGCCGAAGTCCAAGTCACACGCGAAGCCCAGCCGAAGACCACACAGCTGGAAGCTGTATAAATGGCCGATAGCCCCAACGACAGCTTAGCACTTTACCGTTGTATTTCGCAGAAAAACAACAGTTAGCCGGAAAGAGAGCCACACGGAGAGCGAGAATCGACAAAAATAACGGAAGCGCGTGCCGCCAAAGTTTACGGAAATAAAAGCGGACAAAAGTTCATCCTCGCGCTGTCTCTCTCTCCCTTTCTCTCCCCCCTGCTCTTTCGCTTTAACTGCAACTGACAAAGTGGCAAAATCAGATTAAACGATTTACGGGCCACTGACAAAACAACAGAAAAATAAGAACAAAAAACAACAAAGTGCAGTGTGCAGAGGCGGAGACAGAGAACTCCTTGCTGAGGAAGGGAATAAAACAGAAGGAAATTTCCGGAAAATGTGGCCCAACTTTGTAGCTGTCATTTCCCTGCTGTGCCTTGCATTCATCGCCTGGGCGAAAGCTGGACCCGTGCCAATTGTAACGAGGTGAGTCAAAAGGGGTAAAAGGATTGCGGGAATTGCAGGGGATGCAGGCTACAGAGCAGCAGAGTGGCAAAAGGAGCACACACACATGCACACAGCACTCACAGGGGGGGAGCATGAATTTGGGGCAATGACTTCACTCGAATTTCACGCCGAAATGGCCGCCTCCGCCGCCACTTGCAGCAAAAGTGCAGGAAGTGCAAAACTCGCTAATTAAAAGTGGGCGGCGTTAGGAATTCGCTCGGAAGAATAAACAGAGTGCACTCTTTAATTAAAAGATTGCTTTCGAATTAAAAATAATGGCTGAGGGAAATTATAAACACAAATTAAACGGAAGTCAAACTTTGAAATACCCTTCGCGAAATATATATACAAAATAAAATTTTCTGGCGTTATCAGTTTTACATTTTACCCAGAGATTTATTTCCTATAAACACTTCTTTGGTTTTCCAAACTTTCATATTGTTTTGCTAAATTCATACTTGGGAATTTTAATCGATATCTTTGTTAGGTCCTTTTTATTATAATCAAATTAAAAGTTCACTTCATCTTAAAAACTACTAACTATTTCCTTTGTAATCAATGAAATATTATTAATTTAGGGAATCAAAATTTGCAAAACAAATATAAAATTAACGGTTTAAAAATTAATTGTTTCGGTTTGTTAATAAGAAATGGATATTTAATCATATTAGAAGATTTCTTAGAAACCCTTAAAACCTTAAACCTTAGCAAGGGTATAATATTTATTATGAAAAACACTACAACTAAGCTGGCAGACACGCTGGCAGTGGGTGCTGCCTTAATCTGTGTAACTAAATATAGTCAAGAGGCAACAGTTTTTTTTTTATTCCCAAGACACCGTGCCGGTGACAGGCGTTTATATAATACATATTAAAAATCTGGATCCTATCCGCTTATCAACTGCCGTGCAGACTTGACCCTTGATAGAACAAAACAAAGTGATTAATCAATTTTAAAAATAACAACAACTGATTATTAAAAGTGATCTTTGGTAAGGAATACCCCCAAATTGCAGGAGTCAAGTTCAATTATTGCTGATTATTTAAATATTATATAAGGCTATGCTATCAATAATTTGACAATATTAAGGGATCATGACGACATCTCAGCTTCTTTAATATAATAAATTATGAAAAGAACCTGACTAAATAATCTTTTCAAATGGAAATTCCAGTAAATTGGTCTTAAATATAATAAGGTGATTACCCAAGGCACATGTGAGATTAAAGGATCACGTGAGAAGTCAATCATTCTCACCTCAGGTAGACCCATTCCAAAAATCCCTAAGCGAGTTAGTAAATCGCAGTTGCTAGGCTGATAAATCTCACTCGATGTATGCCCAATTTAAGGGGGCTTCCAAAAATAAAACCCACTTGGAGAAAACTGCGTTATAAATCTGAATGGAAATTATTCAAATTGAGTTGAACGCGAGTTGTTGGGCGCAGACAGAAAAAAAATATACAAAACACAAAAGACAATCACAAGGGACAAAAGATGTGCAATGAACAGGCGTCAGAACCTGGGAAAATCATGTAAAAATATATACACAAATATATTCTAAACTTTGAAATACTTTTGTGGGTCGCATTTGCATAAGAAAGCTGTTCCAGAAATAGCACTTTAATCATATTTTATCACAAAAGTAAAGGCACGTAATGTTTACTTTTCTTCTAATTAAATATATGCCTCACAAATTTGTATCTAACTAATTAATATCCCTTACTTAAAATCCAAATTCCAGCATCAACAACTAATGCCCAAGGTCCCTCAATGGCACTGTCTACGCTATTTTAAGCATGATGTCCTCATGATGAGACGCTGTCGCCACTTGCGTGTCCCGACAGCGCCTCGACTTGGGGATGTCCTTAAGCGTAAGAAGAAATAGTATCCGGCCTATAGACAATCAACGTCAATACTCAACACGACTGAGCAGCAACAAGATCAATTAAAGTTACCTTTTTTAAAGGATTTCTAAGATCAGAGACCAAAGCTAAATCAAATATATATATAATATGTACTACCAATTAATTCTACAATTTCTAAACTTTATACTAAGTCCTAACAATTGTACTTCATAGATGTGTAAGATTTCAAAATAAAACGACTAAGAACTCTACTAAAGCGAATTAAATTAATTTTTAAAGACAAAATAAATCGCAAAAAAAACCTTTTAAAGCCTGCTAATATATTCCTTCTTATAGGAATATCTTTATAATTAATTTATTATAAACAAAACTTACCGCATTAACAGCACTATGTTCTCCACGACCAATGATCAGGGGACCATTGCTCTCCAGGGTCTCCGCGGTCACCTTTGGCTTCGTTACATGAATACCGAATGTCGCGTGCCTTAGCAGATTCTCACTGTCGGCGGGCTGATTGGCGAAACTAATGGGAGCAGGTGCATCATCCGATGGACTCTGACCCGGTGGCGCCAAATAAGCAATCTCCTGTGAATGTGTAAGCATCAGCAGCGACGACTGCGCCTGCCAATCCACATTGATGGAGCTCAGCTTGGGCTGTTTCCGGGGCAGCCAGGCCAAGCCATAGGTCTTGGGCAGGTTACTACGCTGATACAGGGGCAGCGGAACATTCGGTTGGAAGACATGCACTAAGGAAAGAGTATTACTAATTACAATAAATAGAATATATATGATTTTCACTTACACTCATCGTTTTTTGTGATTACAGCCATTAGATTGGTGGTCGGATCAAAGGCCAGCTGGCGAACGGATAGCTTCAGACCGGCCTGAAGTCGTAGGGTCAGCAGGTTCCAGATCAGGACCCTGGATTCTGTACAAACGGCCACTAAGTGAGCTTGATCCCCGGCTCCGAATTGCACGTGTGATATCAGTGCCAGTCCCTGCACTGGAGCCGCCATTGCAGGAATTCTTTTAGCCGTTTTAGTCTTGTTACTTTCCCCCGTCTGTGGCTTTTCTTTCTTCTTCGGCTTGCTGCTCTCGTCCAGCTTGAGGATGCTAAACAAAGCAGCCACATCCTGCGGCACAAAATTCTCATAGTTCCGTCGCCTTTTTGCCAAAAGATCGATTCGATACTTGGCTTTGTAGCGATGTCGCATGTGCAGGCGATGCAATCTAGCGTCCAGCTTAAGGATCTTCATCCGCGAAGCCTCTGGCAAGACAGTTTTCTGTTGCAGCAGCTCCATTAAGCGATTTTTGTGCGCCAATGGCACCGCGCAATCAATACCAAAGCGACGCAACAATTGCAATTTCTGGTGCAGATCAAGTTCAGGCATTTTCATGATGTACTTAAACACAGACTCCTTTTTGGCATCTTCCGGTTGGTTAAGGAGCTTGCCCGTGAAAGGTTGCCCCACTATCAAGGCCTTGGCCTCCTCGATCACCGCTTTATCGTCGCTTTTGATGAGACTCTGTAAGAGTCCCCACAATTGCTGCCTCTGTTGGACGATATCTTTTTTAGCTCCATTTAGAGGTGTCTGTGCCAACCTTAGCTGGGCCTTGGCTATTACACCATCCAAGCCGGGCGGACAACTGAGCGTGTGCTGTGGCACTCGTGGATCCCTGGAATTGTATAGGGCCAAAATGTTGCCATAGCCAACGGCAAGATGGAGCCATCCTGCGAGAAGCATAGCGAGCCAATGGAGAGGTTCCTATAGCTTGTCTGCGCCACGCAATTCCACATCTTGCCACGTTTATAGATGTTCTCAGAGTCGGTAATGCCCCAGATTTTGATCACATTATCCTCACCAGCGGTGGCACAAAGCAAGTCGTCCACCTGGAATTGATTGGAGAAGCTGATGGCCTTGAAGCCATGTTCGTGCGGCAGATCAATGTCGGTATTTAGGATGTAGCTGGAATGAATTTAAATTGATTAAAGCTTTTAATTAAATTGTATAATATTTTCAGGGTAAGGAGTTTGTGATAAATCTGTCAAATGATTTATGTGGTCACTTTCCTCATTGAGATCTATAATCCTTCTACAATTTCAAACCAAAAATGACCCGCCACGCTCGCAATTGCACCGCCGGAGCTGTGTACACTTACAACGAAAAGAAGCGTGACTCCGCCAAGTCTGGCTATGGGACCAAAGCCCAGCGCCTGGGCAAGGACTCCATTAAGTCCTTCGACTGCTGCTCCCTAACGATGCAACCCTGCCGCCGGCCTGTGGTCACCAAGCAGGGCTACCTTTTCGACAAGGAGGCCATACTGCAGTATATAGTGACCAAGAAGAACGAATACAGCCGCCAGCTCAAGGAGTACGAGCGGCTACGTCGCCTAGAGAAGGATCAGGCGAACGACGCAGCTCACACTCAACAGCGAGCGCGCATGGAACGCTTTGTGAATTCACAAAAACCAGTGGAAATAACTTCTGCTTCCCTTTCAACTTCTCCTCCATTTCCAACATAAGCAACAGTCACAAGAATAAGCAACCCAGCTTTTGGCTCCCCTCGGAGTGTCCCAATGCTGGAATGATTAGGGCCAAAAAGCCGGATCCGCTTATATACTGTCCAGTTTCACATCAACCATTAAAGGTCAAGGATCTGATTGACGTGAAGTTTACGCTGCTCAAGGATGGCGGCGACAGCAAGCGCTCTCTAATCACCAAGGATGCGCGCTACATGTGTCCAATAACCCACGATGTTCTGAGCAATGCTGTGCCCTGTGCCGTGCTGCGTCCCACTGGTGATGTGGTGACCATGGAGTGTGTGGAGCGATTGATCAGGAAGGAAATGATTCATCCGCTAACCAATTGCAAGCTGGAGGACAAGGACATTATTCCCCTGCAGCGAGGAGGGACTGGTTATGCCAGCACCAACGACAGCTTGCAGGCCCAGGAAAAGAGACCCACATTGCAGGTATAAGATTATCTATCGGACTTTTTTCTCTAAGATGAAGATTTTCAAGCTCTCACGTATTCCAATTACTTCTTTAGGAAAATAATGCCAGGTTCTTTTAAATATATGATTAAAAATCGTCTCTCACCTTTGCAGCTTCTCATTGAATTGCCAGAACTTGAGCCTTACTTCGGCAAAGTTCTCCAGATCGTTGTAAACCTCACCGGTGGCCATCCAATTGATGTTAAAGGCCACTCGGGTTATTCGCGTATTGTAGATGATTTGATTTGCCTCCTCACTATGTACATTGGTGTCCACCACGCGTAGCTAGGAAATAATTAAACCAATTAATTGCTTAATGTTCTCATAATTCCCTAAACATTACTCACATTATAAAGCATATTCTTGGTGTATGCTGAGTAGAATTGCAAGTGTCCTGATCTGCCATTTAGCACCAGCGTATTGGTCCTGGGATTCAAACACAAGCCCAAGGGGAACTTGCTCATGCCAGTCTTGTCCTTGACCTCATATGTAAAATGCTGGACGGTTGACTTGATCGCATTATTGCTGCCACTCAGCAGTTGTATGGCATTATCCTCGGTGCACACAAGCACATTCTCATTGTCATTGCTCACTACTATATGCCTGATCACACTGGCCAGTCCGGGCAAATACTTGCGTTCCTCGGGCATTACCACCGACCACTTGACCAGTACCCGTTCATGGCCACCGCTGTAGATGCTAACGCCCGAGGGCGAGAAGGCCAAGCTGGTCACCTCGTCATGATGCCAATGGAACAGGGTGTTGGTCATAGTCTCACGGCTCTCGAAATCCCGCCAGACAAAGATTTGACCCTCGGCGTCGGCAGTAGCAGCCACCATTTCGCAGGGACTCATCCGAACACAGGTGATCAAGTGCTGTTTGGGGCTCTTGAAACGGCAGAACTTCCAGGTCACATAGTTCAAGAAGTAGATGTAGAAGCCTTGGGCTATGATTATATACTTGTAATGACCCTTTCCCACGTCCACGAGGGGTGTGCGAACTCTGTGAAGATGGAATATTAAGTTGTAGTTGTACGTTTTAAGGCAAATATACAAAAAGGAGCTTGATTTCCGAGACTCACTTCAGCTTTAGGCCGCAATTCAAATTAATCTTTTCGCCCGTACTCGTATTGACCACAAACCAGTTCACCTGTTCGCCACTCTTTCTCTTCGTCGTGACAAAGGCACAGGCTGTGTCACCACCTTTGTACAGATTTATCAGGTGGCAGGTGAGGACATTGGCTTCCGGCACACCCAGCTTCAGAGATACAGTCTTCTTAAGCACACCCGCTCGCCAGTTCCATCGCAAGACCTCGCCAGTACTCGTGCAGCCCAGCAGTAGATCCGTCTGCTTCAGGTCCACCTCCAAACTGATCAAGGGAGCCTTGGCATCATCGAGAACCCTTGTGAGTTCACCAGTACTGGTGGCATACACCTGCACCTTTGTCAGGCATCGCACGAACATGAATCTGGAGGGCAGGAAATGTAGTTTTAGACAGAAAATTATACATCACTTCCAGGCTGAGCCACTAACCTTCCATCAGGCGAAAACAGAGGCGCATGTTCCACGATGTTGCCGCCTGCCAGATACTGCAGCTCCAATCGGTCCTCGTCGTCAAAATTCATGGCTCTCCGTGGGTTAGTCCTGCTCTTTGGGGATCCTCAGTGCTGCGGCACTGTTAACGGAGGGGAATTTCGTTCAATTAAAGCGATTTAAGCCGCTTTTCGTGGACTTCTTCAACAATTGCACGTGTAGAGCAGTGTGACCGGTCAGTGAGCGCCAAGAATATACCAAATGTGATATACTAAAATATATACTGCTGAGTCGCTGAATAATTTAATAAATTATTATATTAAATAAAAGACATATTTTGGTGAATGGTTTTAGCGAGAAAGCTGTCGAAATTTGCTTTATATATTATTTAGTTAACCAATTTAATCAAGAAACTTAATAGAAGAAATATATAATATTTTTAACCGGAAAAATACCAACTGTCGCCACTGATTCTCCCGCTCAGCGGCACTGGTTCCGTTCCGTTGGCTTTCTATCAATTTATTAATAAATGTTTATATTAAAATAACATAAATATGCACAACAAAACTTTTGTATTATTGAAATTAATTTAAAAACAACTATTGTGAGAAAAAAAATGCTGTTAAAAAATAGTTCAAAACATCGATACTATCGATTGTCGTGCCAGCACTATACATGCTGACTGTATAGAAATATATTAATACATTTGTTAATGGCTCAAATCCGGCTCGCAGAGTGCTCCTATTAGCCAACTCAGCTAGCCGGGCAAAAGAACTTGGCCAGGATAAATCAGAAGGACAAAAGCCGACAACCGGACACCTGGGAACCCGAGAAAAATGCGAAGAAAACTCCAAGGAGCAAGAACAACAACAACAACTGCTAACATGTGCAACGTTGCATGGAAAAAGGGGAGTTTTGCGGACCACTTGCTGTCTAGTTGGATGTCCCTCTTCCTGGCCGTCCTCGTTCTCATCTCCTGCAGCACCAGCAGCAGTGCCGCGGATCCCCTCAAGGTCATATACGCCGTTAATGCCGGCGGAGAGGAGCACACGGACCGGAATGGCATTCAGTACGACGCTGATCCTTTGAAGGGCATCGGCATCGCTTCGGACTATGGCAAGCACCTGCTGATGATTGGACGGGTGCACGAGCAGGACGAAGTGCTGTACAGGACGGAACGCTACCACACCACCACCTTTGGCTACGATCTGCCCAGCGACGGCGACGGAGATTACGCGTTAATCATGAAGTTCTGCGAGGTGTACTTCGATGCGCCACAGAAGAAGGTTTTCGATGTGCTGCTCAACAGGAAGCACACTGTGGTCCGGCAACTGGACATCTACGATCAAGTGGGTCGGGGCTCCGCCCACGACGAAATAGTGTACTTCAAGATCAACAACGGACGGCTGAACTACGAGGGCGAAGTGTCCGATGTACGCAATGGTCGCCTGCGGCTGGATTTCATCAAGGGTGCTCTGGATAATCCCAAGATTAATGCCTTTGCCCTGCTTAAGGGCGATGTTTCCCAGCTTCCGCGTCTGCACGGCACCGAGGCGAGTGAAAGGATAAAGCCGGAGGTGGGCAGCAGTAACAGCAAGCAAATAGTGGACCAGAAGCAGCCAGGACACCAGCCGGAACGAGTTGTGCGCACGCAGAGGGATGATGTGGATGAGGACGACGAAGATCTGGATGATGAGGAGTTTGGCGACGAGCTGCCCGATCAGTTGAAAGAGAGTGGCGAGCCCAGTGATCACTCTGCATCGCAACAGAAATCAACGGACTCGAAGAAACCTTACAGTGGACCTCGTCAGCCAAATCCATACTCCATGGACGACTCCTCCATACTGCTCCCCGTGTTCATCGCCATTGGAGCCTTCATTCCGCTGCTATTCTGCCTTTGCAAGCTGTGATCCCCCATCCGTGACCCGATCTCGACCTGCCAGTTCATTTCCTGCTGCTTTTTGTGATTTTTGATAAAAGACTTAATTGTAATTACTTATCGTTTAGTTCGTACGTTAGCCACTTGCCCCAGAGACCGTATCCCGATCCCATAGGCGCACAACTCGCTCTCTATCGCTCTTAACACTCTACACTTTCCGTACTTTGTAAGCTTCTTAAGTTCCTTTTGCGTTGACCACTGCCGTCACAGGCGGCTCGGGTACTTAATCCTGTTGAGTCACTTGATTTATATATATATTCCTAAGTCTAGGTCTATTTCTAACTCTAGATCGCTTAGTGGGATGTGCGCACAAATTTTAGGCGGGTTTTTGGCGACAGTTTCATTTGGAAACTGTCTTATTTGGATATGGAATGAAATAAAATCAACCTTGTTTGTTATTGAACAATAAGTTTGTCGTTATTTATCATGTTTATCAATATATTATTTATGTTGTGGGCGTTTATTTTTTTTAATATTTAAAAATTTCAATATAAGCCCTCAACATCATAGAGTGCAAAATGACAATTCTTGATATATCGTATAATCATATTTGTTCTTAAAAACTATGTTTGTGTACCATTTTTTACTGATATTCTTCTTAAATAATTTCCACAAAATAATGCGTATATCATTTTACGTGATGGGTCCCTATTATTTTAAAATATTTAAGAAATTTCAATATAAGCCCTCAAAAAACAAAACTTCACATATCGGATTTGAAATGGCAATTCTTGATATATCGTATAATTATATTTTTTTCTTATAAACTATCGTTGTGTTCCATTGTTTACTGATATCCTTCCTAAATAATTTTCACAAAATAATGAGTATATCAATTAACGTAGAAGGCGCTTAATTTTTGTAATATTTAAGAAATTTCAAAAATAAATTATATTGAACAGAATTTTTGACGTCGCAGCGCCTATCGAATGATTCATCCTGTGAACCGAATGCGAACGTGTAAAATTGGTCTCTACACGTGTAAAATATAACACTGCGATGTTTATTATTTCTTATTAAACCTGACTAAATAAATGTAAAAAAGTCAAGAATTTATAACAAAATTATAGAATTGATTATAAATACCGCCCTTGACCGGTTTCTTATCAATTCTTACGAAAAAAGCCTTCAAAAAGTAATATGCTAAATGTATAATTAAATTAGCTATTTTAAGGCTAAGAACTAGTTCATCCAAGCTAAACTGACAACACTGCTGGGAAAACGGCAAGGATAAACGAAAATTGGCAAAGAAATCGGAAGAAAATTTAGTCAGCGCGTGTCCATCCAATCGGAAGTGAAAATGTGCCAGCGGCGGCGGTTCGACTTTTACGCCAGCAAGTACACCAGTTTTAGTTTTCACAGGAATCACATCAAGTTGTTTGCCGTGTACATGAAAACGGCAAATCTGATGCAAAACTTCAACGTCCTCAAGCGTTCGCTGTAAGCAGCGCTGCCGCCGCCTCCTACTCTCCCCCGCAGAAATATTAATATAGCAAGAAAATTAAATTAAAGTCACCGACCGACCGGGCTGTGTGTGTGTACGCGTGTGTGTTTGTTAGTGTATTTATTTGCTTATTTAGTGCTATAAATATAACGAAGAAAAGGATGTAAAATGTCTGAGAGAAAAAACCGTAAAGCCTGTGCAAAATCCTTGATAAATTAGCCGCCTTAAGAGCCAGAAATAAATCAAAATCTACATTCAATTTAGGCGTGTCTGCAAGAAATACGGTGAGTTGGAGTCCCGACAACTTTCTTACATAATAATTAAGTGGTGGCGGCCTTTGATTGATAACGGTATTGCATAATATGGCAGCCACAAGTTCGGTATTAATGTTTACCGACTTTTCTGTCTGTCCTTCCATCGAAATTTGACTTTGCCAAAAGCCATAAATCCAGTGGGGACGAGGGGGAAAGAAACAACTCTGTCATCAGGTGCAGTTTGGGGGATAAAAAAAAGGAATGGCTCTCACAGGCTCTCTCTCTGGCGCTATCCTCCCTCGTTTACCGTTACTCGCTCTCGCTCTCCCACGCCAAGCGAACAGATGTTTTGTCCGCCTACGCTAAACAAAAACAAATTGTCCGTTTGCCGACGCCGTTTTTACGTCATAAACACTGCAGTTCGTTACAATAACAAAAACAGTAGTAACTTCGTTGCAACGCTGAAAAGCAGGCAAGCTTTTTGTGTGACTGCCGCTTGTGTCTGTGTGTGTGCGCGTGAGTGGGTGTTTTTTATGTAATGCAAAAAGAGCCGCAGGCCTTGCGTTTGTTATTGTTATTTGTGCTTTTGATGCTACAAACGATTGTGTTCTGTGATGTGGACAATGGCATCTATAGCCAAAATACGTATTTTCAGCTTAGTGTGCTCTTGAAAGCTGAGCGACCTTCGGTGTTATGAACTTGAGAGATAAGAGTCGCTCGCGGCCATTTCGAATTTTAAGCCGTCAACTGAATAATTAAGTAATGAATTTGTGATGTGTATAGAATTATTATTATTAATAGTTGTATTTGTTTAACTAAATGAATACATTTAGAAGAAGATTTTTGTGCTTATATTTTATTATTTTTATTTGAGTTTTTATTATTGAAATAATTCAAATGCAAACTATTGCGAAAAAATTAAAGGAACTATCTATAAGTATTTAATTCAATTTTTAAATTACCAAGTTGTTTGTTTTTACGGTTTTTTCAATTAATTTTAAACGCTTTTAAAAGAAATTTCAGACACTTAGTGATTTGTGGGGAAAGTAAGCAAACAAGTTACTTAAGCAAAATATTTTAGACAGATGTTGTTAGACTTCAATTATTTATTTGTTAGTAGGCCGAATAAAATAAATTAAAATATATAATAAATGGAAAAACGCACCACTTAAGTGCCATGTCCTGGAGCAAATAGATTTTAGTGTAGTAAGTAGTTACATTATTCGATTTTTTTGGCTCCGGTTTTCGCGTGGCACTGCGGCAAAGCCATAACTATTGTCTGGTCGTCACGCCCGAAAAAAAAAAGGAAAATAGTGGAAAAACTAGAGTTGCTTTTGCCCCTGATTTACTGTGCTGCGTGTCCTTCGCCCATGGTCATTGCAAATGTGTATGATGGCATAAAATTGTTGTATCCCATTTCCCAGGGTCCTCGTCCTCCAGCCATCCATCTATTTGTCTGATGATGGAGATGAGGAGCTGTCTGATTGTTTGTTCTGCGTTTGCTATTTTCGGTTCTGCAGCGGCATGTCCTGTGGCGTGTCCTTGGGCAAAGCCCGGGGCTTACATAATAGTCGTCGTCGGCGGTGGGCGGACTTCACTGGGCGTTATTATTATTATTGCGATGTTTTTCAGCTGAAAGTTTAAGCCGTCGCCGAGCAGCACACACAAACACACGCACTTAACATTCCAATTAATGAACCTGAAGAGGGACGGCAGGACTACGTCTTCTATAGCTTCAGCTCTTCAGAGCTCTTCAGTTGGGAACTTTTCCGAAAAGTTTGGCGGTTTTCAGTTTGCGTTTGGGCTTTTGTTTTGTTTGCGAATGGCTTTTGCGGATTGCCTTTATGCGTTATCAAAGCCTAAGCCATTACCATTGTTTTCATTTAAAGTTTAAAATGTTTTTTTTTTTCTAGATATATAAAATTAAAATTACAAAAAACACTGAGGTTTTTAGTCAGCCATCATCATCATTTACATTTTATTTATTAAACTTTAGTTGAGCCTAATAGAAGAAAATAATATTTATTATTTTGAAAACTGATTGATTTGTTTTTAATTTGGAAATTATACAGTGATATAACTATAACCACTTATTATTGGATGGCATAACAAGTGATTTTAATTATTTATCAGCCAAGAAATTGAATTCCTACCATAAAAGAAAATGATCCCATTATTAACACAGCTTCCTACCCAATTATATTCTCAAAAGCTAATCTAATCGGAATTATTTTGCCATTGTCAGCTTTGAGAATCATTAGGAAAGTTGTTGTGTGCACTGAAAGAAAAATAAGGACTAACAAGAAAGATAACTAACTTCAGAAAGTCGAAGTTTTTGAAGTTGAAATTTGTAAAGGAATTCTCTCGACTAATTTCTAAATTAAAAAACGCATAACTCCGCCAAAAATGCATTCATTTTAATTGGAAAGCTTTCCCGTGAATAGTTAAAATGATACTAATTAAAAAAAAAAAAAAAAAAAAAAAAAAAAAAAAAAAAAAATTTGATATTTATGAACATGACTAGATCGATTGGCTTTTGATGCTGATCAAGAATATATATGATTTATAGGGTCACAAATGATTCCTTGACTGAGTTTCGAGCTTCAGACTAAATTTACAATACCCTGTAAGATATAAAATACACATTATTAAGTAGACTTTTTGAAATGATCTAAATTGACTGAGCTTAAAGTTAGTACCTTAACGAAAATGTGAACTCTTGCAAAATGAATTTAATCCATAAAAACCATTCATTTTAAAAGGAACATTATAATATTAAATATATGTAATGTATATAATATGTAATGTTTTATTTCTCTGTATTTTAACATCAGATCTGGATAAAGTTATCTTTGATTCTCCTTTTGAAAACTGCTCCAAATCCTTTTTGCCACCTGTGGTTTTAGTGTACAAAAAAGAAAATCCTCTCTTTACCATTCATAAAATCGTCGTTAGGGGGCATCCAATCAAGGCGGACATCGACGACGACGCAGTTTCGCAAAATGAACCCCCAGCGAATTGTCCTTAGGATTCAATTACGTGCACTTAGCTGCAGTCGTTCAAGTACAAGGATGATGTGTACACTCCACCCTGCATATATACTTTGTCTCGTGATAGACAAAAGGATAAGAGCGAGAGCTGCACCCACGCCATCAGCTGCCAACTTTGGATCGATATTATGGAAATGCCACACGATATTGAAATGTTTGAACTAAAGTGCTTGCTCCGTTGCCCTTTGCAATTATCAAGGAATTACAAACGTGTCGTTAGCCTTGCTCACACAGAGGAAACCCAACCAAGTGAGCCTTGTTATGCCAACGATGAAAAAGAAAATCAATTTCCATTGCGGAAAACTCGCTTTTCCTGGCCACCACTAGCGGTTCCTTCATTGCCAGCCCCCTCAATTATTCATTTCAATTAAGTATACAAGACTGGACACAAAATGCAAGGAAATGGCCAAACGATATTGTTCGAATTTAAGGATGTCCTTAATTGATGTACTGGGCTCCTGGGGGTATGCTAGGGTTTTTGCAAGGGTCAGAAGGATGTTGAATCTTTTTCATTTATCGGTTTTGATATTATGTTATTATATTATTATTATATATTATTATTTTATATAGTATATTTAAGTAGTAAATTAAATTTGCAAGAATTGTTATAAAAAAGATTTTTAAGGTCCTTAAAGCATCCTCTAAATTTGAGTATAACTTTTAAATTTTCTCTCGCAACAGCTGCATTTGTATTTTATTTACGTTCTGAGTGGTTTAATTTTTAATATATTTATCTTGAAGTTACTGATTAATAATATGGTTAATGAAAAAAAAATTAATTAAAAAAGAAAACTATCTTATAAATCAAAACAACTACCAACTATTTTTGTTTACATTTCTATCTATTACTATCTATTCTATCTATCTTATATGTATCTTATATCTTTGTCGCCGGAAAAAACATCGATACCTACGGCACTATCGATTGGTTAAATGCTATCGCACCGATGCAGATTTCGAGTCTCTGTTCGGTTCAAAATATATTCCGCCGATTCTCGCATTCAGTTCTCGGACTGCGCGCGGCATTATACTTTTTGGCACGGTTGCGGAAAATCGTGTTTTCCATCAATCTATATGGAAATTGTTTAAACTATTACAAAATTAAGCAAATGTAAATGAAACCGAAAGCAAGCCTTGTTTTTCCAGTACTTGGTGTATTTTTCAATATTGTTGTTTGTGTGTGTGAACCGAATATAGTGCGCCTTTTTTTTGGTTCGCCAATAAATATTAATGTGCATTGTGCCGCTTTGTCGGGAATAAATTAGAAATCATTATTTGTTTGTGCGGATCAAAACAAAATCGGGAATCAGATACGGATACAGAGAAAGAGGAAAGAGACTGTGGAAAGCAGCCAGAGAGTGTGGCGAAGAGAGTGCGAAAAATAGTGGAAAAGAAAGAACAGCTGCCGGCTGATTTGTTGCGGAAAAGGAACAGGCGGAAAGAGCAAGAGAAATGTGCGTAAAAAAAGTAGACTGAAAGAAATTTGGTAGATACCTAAAAGTGGCATAAAATTATAACTTTCTAATAACTATAACCTTTTGAAATGTCAGCTTGTGAGAGGGAAACTGTAGCGAATAGTTTAAATAAATAATTATATTGTAGATACTTTTTCAATACAGATTTCTTTCCGTGGAAACATTTCTTGTTTAAAAAAGTTTCAACAAAAAAAGTGTGTGCGGCTTATACATATGTACATAAGTACATACTTATATATTTCTTGGGTATTTTTAGCCATCTTTATATTTTTCACGTTTCCAACGACAGGCAATTTTCTTCTATTATTTATTTTTTAACGTCTAGCAAAAGTGCACTTGAGTTTATTTTGGTCTTTTGCCGGCTCTGTTTTTCCACCCATTTTCCCTTCTCCATTCGCTCTGCTCTACTTATTCGTTCCCATTCGTTTCGCATTCCAAAATACTCATGAACCATATGTATGTATGTATTTATGTAGTATATATATATACATATTTCTGGTATAAACATATGTAATGCTGTTTTAGTCTACATATTTTATTGTTGCCAAGCTGATAACAACGGCACAGCATAGCAACATATTTTTATGCCATTTGTGCTCTTTGCTGTATTTCTTGGTTGTTTTATTTTGCGGAGTCATCTCATTCCATCTTGAAATTCCAGTATTCCAATGTATCTAGGAGTTTCAGAATGAGTTCATTTTACAGAATCTGGAAAGATTTATGTTAAAAAAATGATTTGATAAACTATTAATCATTTTTTCATAAAACATTTCATTAAAGTATTACAACATTTTGACTCCAGTGAGATTTTAAAAATAAATATACATGTCTTCAAGATTTTAAATATTTGAAAAATATAACGAAAACTATAGAATAATTTAGCAACTATATAGAAACGAATTTTTAAATAAATAATGTATTGTTATTGATATAAATAAGTTCTTGTAGAAGTTCTATTATCAGATATATTTTAAATTCAACATAAAGTACTTAGAATTTTTCTCAATATTCCATAGTTCATTTGATAATACCTCAATGTATCTATACATATATTTTTTAAATTCTAATAAATAAAATATGACTCAGATGGCCTTCGCTTGATCGGTCCCGAAACGTGTTTCTTCCGCCTAGAGTCTAGGGTCTAGACCCTCGTAATATTCAAGCAAACATGCATAAACAAATATTTATAGTCGTACATAGCGCCTATATAAATAATCGTGCATATGTACAAGATATCTATCTATATGGGGTTCACAGCGTCGGTTGAAATGTCTAAAAAAAAAAAAAATGTGGTCTTGGGATTAAATCGTCAATCAAGTTGATTTCATTATCAATTATCAGCCAATAAATTAAGATATGGCCAACGGAGGCATATATACAGCTGCGATTTATCTATGAACATTTATGTAAACATTATTCGTTTGTTATCTAACGTGTTTCAATAATTTGAACCCATTTATCTCTGGTCAGTAGTTGTTGTAAAAATGTTTCCAATTAGTCGGTTCACTGAGCAACAAGTGTAAATAATTACGCGGTTAAATGTGTCATGATATTCTTCCCAGAAAAATATTATTGTTCCCTAACAATCAATGCCAATTACATATTTTGTTGGGTTTTTCTGAGCTCCATCAATCAAAAAATCCCACAGAAATGTCACACCTGCTAGACAGTGTGTGCATATCACTTTGACAATATAAACCACAAAAACTAATGCTCATTTATACACATATTTTTTTCCATCTGATAACATTTGACGTGTCCTTGTGTAAGGGAAGGAAAATATTTGATTTATGATGAACCGTAATCATTAGAGACCTTGACCAGAAATCGTTGTAATAATGCCTTTTGTGATACGCAAATTATTCATATTTACTATCAGCAGAACACAATAATATCTCAAGTAGTCACACACCAAAAGCTCTGCCAAAAAATCCATTTAGAACCTTAGGGAAAATATACAAAATCGATTTTTAAGCTTATAATTACGTCCAGTTTGGAGCTGACCAAATGCTGGAAATATTTTATCAAAAGTCAATATAAGGAGTGATCTCATTGTAGGAAATACTTTTTATTATAGATAAAAGTAAATCTGACTTAAGTAGTGTGTTTAAAATAATTGTTTAGGTTTTTTAAAGCCTACTTTAAGCAAGGTGACTAAAAGTTATGGTGGTCAGCTTAAAGTTCAAAGTGAATTGGCCATGTTCAAAGTACAGGTTTTAAGGTGGAGTTATATCTAATTTTAGAATGTTTTTCTTGGGATTTTCAAGTAAAGAAAAGTCAGGAAAGGTATTTTGTTATTTAATTTATTTTTTTTTAATTTTTATTATTATAATACAATTTAATTCTTTTGATTTATTAATATAAATCTTTAAAATAATATAAGCACTTGCTCCCACAATTCTTAAGTCTCAAAAACTCACTTTCAATAATTTTGTATTCTTATCTAGCTTTTAAGTAAAATATTTCCTTATTAATTTATGAAATCATCAAGGTTTGCTTGCCTTTATGACGGTGCTTACGCATTATAATGAAACTTAAACCTATTAAATCAAATATCTGCAATCAGTATTTCCTGTTTTCATCGAATCAGGAATCCCAGTAAAGGGTGGACACCCTTATCGACCATCTTGATGGTGCTCCCTAACAACAATATATATGATTCAGTGTATATATATATAGCAAAGAATATAACGAAACCCCCAACGGGCAATTTCAATGCCATTTGTGATTTGAGTTCTTTTTTTCTTTTTCGGGTTACCAACATCAATCCCACTTGTCAGTCAGTCAGTCTGAAATTCTGGCAGAAATTTTGTCGCAACCGCAAAATGATTTTTGTCTCAATTTCTTGCTGTTCATTTTGTAGCTTTTCCCTTTTATTTTGTATCTTTTTTATATACCCTTTAGGGTATTATAATTTTAATTAGAAGCTTGCAACGCGGTGAAGGGATTATTTCCGAACATATAAATCATATATATTCTTGATCAAGATTAACAGCGAAATCGTTCTAGCCATCTCCGGTTAAAAAAAAGGTTTTCACAATTTTTTCCAATTAAAAAAAAAAATTATCAAAAATTGATAAAAAATTGATTCTTTTAAAACTTTATATTTGGTATGCAGATTTATTAACTGAATAAAAACTAACATGAGAACGCTTTCCGAATTGAAATTAATGCTGTTTTGGCTTAGTTATGAATTTTTTAAACTTTGATTTTCTAAAAAATTGTCTAATAAAAATGTAATGAATAATTCTTTTGCACTTCAAGGGTATATAAGCTTCGGCATCCCGAAGTCAGTTTCCTTTCTGGTTTTTATAACATATATTTGCATGCATGTAAATTTACTTTTCCAACTCTTTTATGTAGATGAGCATTTATTATTTTAGCTGTATGTGTGTGGCCAAAAAGGGTCTGCACATGACGGAATATTTCCCGCAATGTTTTCCAAATAAGATGATGAGCTTGAAATGATTTTGGGGAGGGCAATGTGTAATGTTCCTTGAACTGAGCAAAATTGACTTTTGTAATTGAACATGTCAAGTTAAATTAGGTTTAGGATAGAAATGTGTCTGAAATTCTAATGGGTATTCACTAAAAAATGCCTTTGAGACATAAAATGTAAGATGAACTGAGTTAAGAGTAAACTACCATTAAATGTAATGAAAAATTCAAGGAAACTTGTATATTATTTCTGAGTAATTGCTGTAATCACTTAAGGGAGTACTCACCTTACTCACCTTTGAGATAATATCTTAGTCATGAAAATATAATACCCTAATTTTAAATTCCAACTATACATTGCAATGTCACAGGTGCAAAAACAAAAGTCGTGCCATTAAATAAATAAGCTTGAGCACTTGACTGCATAATGCCAATAAATATTAAATACCTTTGTTGAACAGAATCTATTCAAATGTTTTCTGTATCTGCTTTGAAACACATAAAAAAACCTACCTGTTGCTTACCTTCTGTATTAAATAAAATGCACATTGGAATAAAATCGAGCAGAATATAAAACACTCATTTTTGCTGCAACTTGTTCGCGGCAGTAAAAATAATTTACGGATGCAGGAAACCCATCCACATGATTTTTCTTATATTTCTGCTCGTAAACAGTCATTATTCAAGTTAGCATCAGAACAGAATTTCCTTATATTTGTTCATCTGTTGGTAATTATAAGCATTTTATGATATTTCTGGCCTAAATTGGTCTGGCTGCCAGATGCACTGGCCTAGTTATGGGCCAAGTTAAATACATTCGACCACTTTGGCGCTTCGGATAATCGCCTTGAACCAGTTAAGTGGCTTCCCACCGGTTTATATTCTTCCGCGGCTATTGTTGTTTGCAGTCATGATGCATTTTTCACAAATCAATTGAGTTTGATTTGTTTATAAATAATTTCGCCCTGTAACTGGCATTTTCCATATTCCATTGTGGGCATGTTATCGATTTGTAAACTCAAAACGAACAGGGCAAAGTTCAGGAACCTGGGGAAACAAAATAAATAGAGTTGACATTAATGGGTGGCAAAAGTGACATTTCTTGGGTGTTCCTTTGGCTAGAAAGTTCCAAGTAAAATCGATCAAAACCACAAGTTAAGGATTATTTTTGATATAATCGATTCAAGAAAAACTTGTTCCAGTGCAGGCAGTGCATTCCATGAAAACGAAAACCCGTACTAACATATTTTATAGGAAATAAATTAATACAGTCACCACAATCTTTGTTCTCTAAAGAAAATACTGATTTCGAATGTATTTTTATCAAAATTAAAAATATTAAATACTATTATAATAAAATTAAAGGGGTTCAAAAAGTATACATCTATTAGTTCCATTTCAAGGTCTCTCGCCTCAGTAAATGCAATATGTTTTATTCCAGGTACAGTGCCTTGTATTATAAAAATAAATATAAATTATTCAGACGTTTTTCAATATTTTCCTCTGCTACATTTGCAAAAAAAGAAAAGAAAATGTTTGGCATGGACAGACCATACATTTTCTTGGTATCTGGCCAAAATATACATCATGCATTCACATATTAGATATATATAGTATTCCCAATTGGTTATTTTTCGCCAATCTATATAGTATTGTATAGTATAGTCTTTTTGAAAATCGTTTGACCTTTGAAATATAAATTGTTTCCGCTGGCTAAACTTGAACTGAACCCCCACAGGCCATGAAAGACCGAAAATCCTTGCCACAAATATTTACGTTCGAATTGGGAATAGTCGCCAGTCCGCATTGGCCAAAATAAACACACAAATTTATGGTTGAGGCAGAATGAAGGGTGCAGGGGCGTCAATCCGATTCACGATTATATAGCCCAGGGAAGTGAACCTGAAGCATAAAGTAAACCCAAATTAAATATTAACACATTTTCGGGGGTGTCTGGTGGCCGGCGATGTGAGATGAAATCAATTAAAACGTGGCGCAATTCATTCCAGCCCAAGGACTCTTGGGTCAGAGTTGTGGCCATATCTGAAAAGACTGGGAAACAGATTCTCCACACAGTGGGCTAAAGAAAAAGGAGAACTTTTCAATTGATAATGCAAAAAGTTATATGCACTTTTATGTTTGTTAAACTTCAAGGAAGTTGCAGTCAAAAGAGTAGCCTTGCCACAAAAACTTGAGCCGGGCTTCCTTTGGCGTCAAAAAGTTTTTTATATTACTTTCCATATCAGCTGCTAAAAGGAAGCTTAATATAAATATTTTACAATTTATTTTCACTTACATTTAAAAATCTTAAAAAAAGGGTTCAAAACTACTTAAGTTTGAACTTGTTAATTTCCACAAGATTTACTGAGCTTTATTTACCATAATCTCCATGTTCTTGGGTTAATCACTTAATTATATCAAACGATTTTGCACTAATGCCACTCTGTATTCTGGCAGATTTTGTGGTAAATTCTGTTAACCATTTAATTTAAGCCGATTTTAGATGGTTGACTGTGAACAGCCGTTAATTGAAGTCAGTGAACTTGAAACTTTTGTGGTCGCTAATCTAGTCACCCCAAAAATGGGATTAGTAGTGGAAAAGCCCTGGGAAATCCTAGGAAATTCAAGCCCTTAACCAGACCAACAAATACAAATTGACCTTCAATTTGATATAATGACAAATAACAAGATTCAATTGACCGAAGGGAACTTGAGCTGGGAAAATGACATGGGAACCGCTTCAGGTACATTGCCCTCCAATTTATCAGTTTCCCAAATGAGATGTGTGCGACACTTGTGGAAGCCAATTGCATATATTCCGTTTATTTAAGCACTCGATAGATAAGCCTCGATGTGTTGCTGCTTCTACTAATTTAATTTCGCCAATAACTTGGAATCAGTTCTTATCGCGAGAGCGTTGAGGACGAACTGCTGGCTGGAAATTCGACATTCGTTTACTCTGGTTTATTGCCATGTTTACGATTGGTATCAACTCGCTAATTTCGCATGGCGCTAAGTGCACTGGATCCAACCAGTTCGAAAAATCAATATTGTCTATCGCCATGCTTGATAGAAATTTATTTAGTCTAAGATCTTAGAGCAAACCAAATGGCCAAGTGGGTAAATAATGATACTTTAACTGGATTTATGGCAAAGAGTTTGCGAATTAACAATGGAAATTCACGGGAGATTTTTCACATTTTTTTTTGAGGTTCAGGAATTGCTTAATCTTTAATCATTTACTTTATCTTATTTATAAATAAAAATATATATGGATTAAATAAAAAAAAAGTAATATGAAATATCAATAAACACATTTCGTTCAACCTAAAAATATTTTAAGATTGATAGATCGATTATTTAAAAAATTCAAAATATATTTTATTGTCTTTAAACTATCGATATTACCAATATTTTAATATGTCTTATATTTAATGTTTTTAAACCTTATGTTTATAATCCCGGATGTATTAAACAAATATCTTGCCGCTGTAAAGTATTATATTATGTATATTTAACTTTAAATACTGAATAATATTACAACATAACTTTGAATAATATAATTTTAGTAGATGATCTAATTTCGGGATACTATATTCAGCTGACAAAATAAATCCACACCCACTTAAGCCTTGATTAGTATGAAATCACGTGCAAAAATCGATTGAAACTTTACCTGATTTTAGCACATTTCATGTTTGCAAAAGAAAGATTAAAATCAAAAGATTTAACCCGAAACCGATGCGTATTTGAAGAACAAATATAAACGTGTGATTTTTTCGGTGAATGGGTTTGGATTTTTCAGCTTGAAGTCTTCGAGCTGGGTGAAATTCGTGGGTTTTAACCAGTTTCAATTGGTTATTGCGGCAGGTCGGTCGAGTTTAGTGATCCGCTGTGATAACCAAAAATAAAGTCAAACCTTAAAATAAATATTATTTTTGTTTGAACCCCTTTCCCTGCAGAGATACACAACCAGAGGACGAGAAACTACCCAAACAGAAGGACACTAACTAGCATGCCAGGATCATCGTCAGGGAAGTGAGGAGGTAACCCAAGGAACACACACAATGAGCAACCAAAGCACGGAGCAGGACTACGACAGTGCCACTCCGGCGCTGCAGCAGCAGATGAATCTGGCCAGGCGTGCCTGCTGGAGGAGGAACAAAATCCCTCCCAGATATCCTCAGCCAGCTAATCCCGATCCAATTGCGGCACAACCACCACCGAGCGATGAAACCAAAACACAAAATACACGAACAACAACCTGCACATCCAGCCGAGCGAGGAGGAGTGGCATTTACAGCAAAAGGATGCTGCTCCTTGGCTTTGTATTCCTCATCCTTGGACTCACCCAGGGACGACCCAACACGAGTGCCGTAAGCGTGGCTCCGGGCAAGGATAGTGCTGCCTCTGCGGCTACGGATGCGGTCACCCAGCTAAATGTAAGTATCCTGAAAGCCATAGTCAAAATCCGAAATACCAAATCCGGTTGAGCAGCCATTAAGTCCTGGCATTACCGCACATCCGGTGTGCGTTTGTGTGCAACGAAAGCTCTTTACTCGATTGCAATTACGGACAGACTTCACTTTCACTGTGAAGCCAGAGATAAAGCGAAAATTTAAAGAGAGACTGTAAAATTTAATGACAATATTTCAAGAGTTCTAAACTTTTTATGTAGAATTAGATACCTTAAATATTTATATTGAAAAAAGCAGTGAAAAAATATTTCCGACCCTATAAAGCATATATATTCTTAATCAGGATCAACAGCGAATCGATCTAGCTATGTACGGCAAAAATTTAATTTTTTTCAAAATTTTGAAAATTTTATAAGGGGTTACATCATTAAATTTTCAAAAATTGGCCAAAAATTAATTTTTTAAATTTTATTTGAGTATGCAGATTTATTAACAGCATAAAAACTAACATAGGAACGATTTCCAAATAGAATTAATACATTTTTGGCTTAGTTATAGATTTTGTATACTTTATTTCCATATCTAAAAAATGTCTTTGAAAACTATTCGAACTTTTAAATTCATACAGGAAAGTTTTACTGTATTTACATTCCCTTTTTGCTAGTTTAGCTGCAAGTGCCATAAACTAAACTCTTAATTGAAGCAATTAACTGATAAATCTAATTAAATATCGACTAGTTTATGTGGGAAACCCCTGAGATGTGGTGTGAACTCGAACTTTGTCAAATGCAATTAAATATTTTAAGCTACGTTGAGTTCTGGCTTTATTCTTAATAGGTTTAGGTTCACGAAAACATCAGAATATTTAATTTGATTTTAAAAAACTTCAAGTAGAAAATAAACTCCATTTAAGTAGATTTTCTTTATATTTTTCATGTAGAATAAATTCAGTATAAAACATTTTCCTTGCCTTGACTTGCTTATTTGCTTCTATGAAATGTATATATTAATGCAGAAAAAAGATATATAAATCAAATATAGCTCTGGGCCTACCTTTATGATTGTGCTAGGTTTTCCTCTAATTTATTATGTGTCTAAAGGTAAAAACCTTTGAAAATGTAGTTTTATAGAACTAGACAAACCCATGACCAAATTATCTGTACATGATTTCTTATCAACATTTCTCGTAAAGATTGATTTATTAAACCCATTCTCTGTTAAGGGAAAAAGGTCTCTGTTGTCACTATAAATAGATATCGATAATAAACTTGTAGACGAAGCCCAATTATAATTTGTGGGAAGTTTAATTACCATATGCATATATAAACGAATATATGTTTCAATGTCTTTGGAAAGTATCAAAACTGATTAACCTCAGTACGCGATTTAATATTCATTGAACCGCTGACACACACAACATGCTAAGTGCCTCACACTGACCTAGATCAACATTTCAAATGGGTTTGTTTCGGAGTTTTATGCTCTGTAGACATTGTGGAAACGCTGACGATTCATTCGGCAAACAAAAATCAAAATCAAAATAAAAGAAAAGCGCTGACACTCCGTGTTTTGTTCGCTTGCTCGCATGCGTCATTAATGGAATTGATTGTAATTTTCGATGGCGTGTGTTACCCACAAATGGAGGAAACTTAACCCCGATATTTCCACAGGCATGTCTGCGATCTGGATTTAATTTTCCGCAGTTTAGTCAGCAACGGTGTAAATATTTGATATTTACTTTGGCGGGTATTGGAAAATTTACCAAAGCGCATTTATCTTTCTTCCCTCTCTCTGGATTAGATGTTTGCCAATTATAAAACCACTAATGCCCGAATTATATTATACTTCCAGCTGCCTCAGACAACCGCCTTGGATGTGGATTTAGGGGAGGCCACGCCCACACTGCGTTTGCCACGTGCCGAACCACTGAAATCTGGTGGTGATGAGGGAAGGCCAAGGATGAGGATGGTCATGGAAGTGATGGCCACAAGATGACCCGGTATCCACTGTCCAGCGTGGATTTTGGCCGAGTTAAGACGCCTTTTATCATTGGTATATGGATACTGTCGGCCAGTATAGCCAAAATTGGTAAGTTTTTCTTTTTATATTATGTTTTTTTAAGAGAGAAAATTGGTTGTATTTACATAACTGAGTTACAAGTATTTTGGAATTTTTTGAATATTTTTATCATTAAAGTACTAGCAATAAATAACTACATTACTACTGAAATATATGTGAAAGCTAATTACTTTGTAGGGAAATATTCTAATAATTAAATATGATGTACATACATATAACTAAGATACCAAGCTGATACCTACAAAAAACTCTCAGTATTTAAGCCAGTTGCCGGCTTGTTCAATTAGGGCCAATAAAACAGGATTAGCTTGCGCCTAATCAGCGGACAATCAGGGCATTTTGCCGGAAAAACCGGCAGAGGTTTCCCCGAGCTGCTCCGCGCATCCTTTTCTTTTCCGTTTTCCCATTTCCGCTTTGGAGCCAAAGCTGCTCCTTTTCCTCGACGTGGGTGTCTTGGTATATTTTTCCCTGAGCTCTTGTTGCCAGGCAAAATCAATATGGTTTATGTAATTCTTCTACGACTGGCGACGCCATCATCGTCATGCAGATTTGCGTCAAGTCGTTGGCGACGTAACGTTACCGTGTGTGTCTGTTCCGTGGGTGTGAATGTGAGTGAGTCCTGGCCGAAGGACATTGCATAAGACCACGCTGACTGCGTGTGCAACAAGCCGCAGAACATTTGGGGCCTTGAACCTGCCCTTCCCCCTCGAGCAACAATGGGCCTGTGCATTTATCATTTACACCAAGCCTCTCGAGACTTTATTACCCATTCTGATTTTCTGATTTTCGTTGTTTTTTTTTGGGAGGGCCTCGAACCAGACAAGTTTATCTAGTGGCCCTGCCCGTAACCTTGGCTAGAGAGAGAGAAAATCCATTTTCCACACTCAAACACACACACACCCATCAAGGACACTGGCGCCAGGTCCCTGTTTTTCCATTACAATTTCTATTTCACGAAAATTTCCGCTGCAATTGAATCAGTGGCCAGCGGGCAGTAGAGGCTAACAGGGCCGAAAATAGGGCTTAAATCATTGCGAATGCCATTGAAACAGAAAAACTTGAGCGAAGGCCGATTGGAAACTTGAGGAAAATGGAGGGGAGATAAGGCGAGGGAAATAATGTTATTTAAGAACCCAAGTTTCAGGGGCAAGGTTGTTATATAAGTTTAATGTGGATTTCATTTAATTGTCAAGGATAATTTCAGAATAAGTGATGGTTCTTTGAACATATTAAACTAGGTTCAAGTTAAAATAGTACCTTTAATAAATAATATACATCATTTGTTCTTATTTATATACATTTTACTTAAATATTTAAATGCCGCTCTTGAATTTCTACCATTAAATTCCTAATAGAAAAATGCAAATTAAAACCTTACCTTTTTTGTGCGAATATTTCCTTCATTCTCTATTTTTTTGTGTTGTGCCTCATTTGCAAGGCATAATTATCCTTCGGTTTTTGGTTGCCCTTGAACCCAAAATATTTGCTAGAGAAAAAAAAGTACTAAAAGTCAAATGGCAGAAAACAACAAAGGGAGAAGAGGTCAAAGGGCAAAAAATGGGTACCAAGAAATTGCATGCAAATTCCCCATCATTCCCCAAAAATGAACGAGGGAATATTTCTTGCTTTTATGGCTGCGCATTTTGTAATTAAGGAAAATATTTTTGGGGATCTCACACACAACCACAAACTTGTAAATGCGTTGCAGAATTTCCCTGTTTATCTAGTAATAATTTCCACTTACTATATACAATTTTTGTTAATATTATCTTGCAGGTTTCCATATGACGCCCAATTGCATCTAATATTCCCCGAGTCCTGCCTGCTAATTGTGGTGGGCGTGGTCATCGGTGTGGTGCTTTATTTCTGCACAGATGTCGCTGTATCACCACTGACGCCCAATACCTTCTTTTTCTATATGCTGCCACCGATTATCCTGGACGCCGGCTACTTTATGCCCAATCGATTATTCTTCGACAACCTGGGCACCATCCTGCTGATGGCCGTGGTCGGTACCATCTTCAACATTGCCACCATCGGTGAGTATTAACGGAAACTTGAGAAGGATTCGGTCATTGTCCTTGGGGGAGGAAAATGGAATTGTCCTGTCCATCGTTTAGAGTTTGATGGCTTAATAAACAAAGCTAAAGATGGATGGTAGGAGCAAGGCGAACGACATTCCATGTAATCCCATCCATCGAAGTCAGCTGAAAAACGGTCAATGGAAATTGTTGTCAATAAAATATATTGTTGACTTAGGTGGGGCAAATAGTATCTAGAGTAAATTTAGCTAAATTTATTAACTGCAATCAATACATGTATTTGTTAAAGGATTTCGATTGCCTTTTTCTGGAAAGAAATTTTCCCTTGAAGTTTTTCATTTACAAATATAAAAAGACTGTCAGGTGGCCAAGTCAATATTTAAACTCATCTCAAGTGCGACTAGCTTGTACTTTAAACAAATAAATATGTTTACAGTACTTGTCAACTAGTTAATAATAACCAAATAGGTGTCGGTCAGTGCCAGTAATTATACGGAAGCTGAATTAGTGGAATACGTTTTTTTTTTGTTTTGCCTTTGTATGTTAGCCAAACGTATCGTAATAATAAGGCGCCATTTGTTGTTTTGTCTAAAAATAAAATGAGACAATCATTAGGCTTTTTGTGTTAGTTTACACTCAGAAAAAGGCTTACGTTACAAATTTAATGGATTTTTCACCCCTAAATTTGTACACCCTTGCAGGGTATTATAACTTTAGTCAGAAGATTAAAAAGCAGTGAAGAAGTCGTTTCCGACCCATAAATCATATACATATATTCTTGATCAGAATTAACAGCTGAGTAAACCTAGATATGTCTGGCAAAAAATAAATGTTCAAAATTGTTTCCATTTTTTGAAAAAAAGAAAGGGGTTACATCGTTAAAATTGTCAAACATTTAACAAATTTATTTTTTTTTAATTTTATGCAGTTTTGTTAGCACTTTAAAAACTAGCACAAAAAAGCTTTTCAAGCTGAAATTACTGCATTTTTGGCTTATTATGAGATTTTAAAAACTTTGATATTCTCAAAAAAATGAGCATTTAAAACTATCGATTCAAAGTAGGGAAAAAAGGTGATTTCAGTCAACTAACATCTTAAAATATATAGATAATTAAATAAATAAAAATAAAGTAATGGCACGCATACATTCTCTATAAAAATAATTTTATTGCAGTCGAATTTCAGTAAATTCTTCAAATCTTAATTGAACCTATTCTACTTTCAATAAAATTGAATATTTTTCAATTGAACTTGACTCTGTTCACAAAATAGGGGTTTCCTTTTAAAAAATGTAAATGCTTTAACAGAAAATCCTAAACTTTTGCAACACTTATTATCTACTACAAGTTATATTTGATATAGTTTATTCCAAGTGCATAAATATATATAAATATTTAACCGGCACGCGAGGGGGCGTAACTAGATGACCGCTTAGAAGTGATTTACACGAGAGTGTAACAACAAAGCTTGGCGATTGATGTGAATGGGGAAGCTGCCACCGCTAATGTTGATGTGCTCCTCCGATGACAAAACAAAAGGGGGCAGAGAGAGATGCCATGGGTAAAATCCAGATGAGGGGATAGCATGGAAGGGGGTTTTGGGAGGAGACTCCACTTAGATGAATGACCGCACCACGAGGCAAACGCGAAGCGAATCCGGGGGATACACGCTCGAGTTGCCACATTACCCGCTCCAGAAACCAGACTTGGCAATTACTTATGCTTAACAAATTGGATTACATATCACACAATGAAAGCCGACAACGCCGCTCTGTTAACTTATCTCTCGCGATTCATTCGGAAAAGTGGAAATTCCATAGCCATTATTCATTCGTCCGTTTCAGATATTTTATTATTGTTATGTAATAAACATAATAAAACAAAAGGCAAGTGAGTTGCATAAAGCCTCAATTATTTTGCATTGGCTTTTATTGCAATGATGTGACGGTTTTAATTGTTCTCGATGATCATTCATTCGGGGGAAGTTTTTTGTATTTAAATTATTGAGAATATATTCATAATTTAAAAGTTTTTATATGACACAGCAATGTTTGAAAATTCATAACTAAGCCAAAAATCATTAATTTTAGTTCGGAAAGCGTTCCGATGTTAGTTTTTGTTAGGTTAATAAATCTGCATACTAAATATAAAGTTTTAAAGGAATCAATTTATCTTTTATCTTATCTTATCTTTTTTTTCAAAAAATGGAAACAATTGTGAAAATTTATTTTTCAACCGGACATAGCTAGATCGACTCGGCTTTTTATGTTAATCAAGAATATATATGATTTATGGGGTCGGAAATTAATTTTTCGCTGGGTTTTAAGCTTCAGACTTCAGAAATTATAATACCCTTGAAGAAGTACCTGCTTTCTAAAAGCGAAAACAAAGTTATCCGAATGTAAATATTACCATAAACAATGGAAAACTATGGGATGCTTCTCAACATTTTTTTTCCGCATCAATTTGTGGAACCAATTTGAAGAGCCGCCACACTAGCAATATTATTGCAAACATTCAATTTGCGTCGCTGCAAATTCAATTATTCCCGGAAAGAAGTCGCTTATCAATTGACTTGAATGACTTGGGGATGCATTTTGAAAAACAACAAGCAGCCCGGTGACTGGCGACTGGCAGCAATGTCAATGCCATCGATTGACTGGCTTGGATGGGGTGGTATCTAATTAAGGCTATGTCTAAGGAGTACAGCACTCTGGGAAATTGATGGGTTGGAAAATAAATTACACTCCGCCTGCATTCCACTTCCATTCACTGATTTTTCTGCATTTTATTTGAAGGTGGCTCCCTTTATGCCTGCGGAATGATGGGAATTTACGGGGAGAACGAGACCCCCGGCCTGATGGATGTATTCCTCTTCGCCTCGCTGATATCCGCCGTGGATCCGGTGGCTGTTCTGGCCGTCTTTGAGGAGATTCATGTCAACGAAATCCTGTACATTGTCGTCTTTGGCGAGTCCCTGCTGAACGACGCCGTTACGGTGAGTGGCTTTTGGGTTTATTGATGAGATTTTCTGGTCACGGATATTGCTTGTAATATCGAAGCAATTAAGTCAACAAGTGGTAATGGTATTCCTCTTCCCCTTAACCCGCAGGTCGTCATGTATCACATGATGGAGTCCTACAATGAGATTGGCTTGGACAAAATCATCGCCCAGGATATTGCAGCGGCGTGGGTTCATTTTTTGTGGTCGCCCTGGGTGGAACTGCCATAGGTGAGTGTGGATGTTTCAATCGCTTTTAATTGGATTTTATTTTAACAAAATTAATTGGATTTCGGTTGGAGAATCTACCTAGAATGTGGAATATTTAATCTACAATGTATACGATTTAAAATTTCTTAAACAGCCAGAATATCAAGTTCTCAGTATAGTCTAGATTCCATAAAATTCTTTAAAAGCAGTAGTTTATATATTAAATCTATTAATAAATGTTGTTATATTTTTTAGGCATCATCTGGGGCTTCCTCACCGGTCTGGTGACCCGTTTCACCGATCATGTGCGTGTCATAGAACCCATTTTCATATTTGTAATGGCCTATTTGGCCTATCTCAATGCGGAAATCTTCCACATGAGCGGCATATTGGCGTGAGTATATTATTTTACAAAAATCTATATAAATATTTAATTAATTAATAAATATCCTCTACCAAAACAGCATCACATTCTGTGGTATTACAATGAAAAACTATGTGGAATCAAATATTTCACAAAAGTCACACACGACTGTTAAATATGCCTTGAAGATGTTGTCGAGTTCAGCGGAAACTATCATATTTATGTTCCTCGGCGTGGCCACTGTCAACAATATGCACGTATGGAATACGTGGTTTGTGGTTCTCACTATTGCCTTCTGTTCAGTGTTTCGTGTGATTGGTAAGTAATCTGGTAATCTTTAAGTTATTAATACAACTTTATTTAATTGTTCTTCTCCTGTTCCAGGTGTCATCCTGCTCTCGGCCATTGCCAATAGATTCCGCCTCCACAAATTATCCCGCGTGGATCAATTTGTAATGTCTTACGGCGGTCTTCGTGGCGCTGTGGCCTTCGCCCTGGTGCTGCTGGTGGATGAGAATGTGGTCAAGCAAAAGAATATGTTTGTGACCACCACAATAGCTGTGATCTACTTTACTGTCTTCCTGCAAGGCATCACCATCAAGCCGCTGGTCAAGATACTCAATGTGAAGCGGGCCAACAAGCGTAAGCCCACCATGAATGAGCGTATTCATGAACGAGTGAGACTACTGATTAAGAGAATCATATAAATTCGAATTAATATATATATATTCTTACCAGTTCATGGACCATTTGATGGCTGGAATTGAGGATATTGTGGGCAAGACAGGCAACTATAATGTGCGTGATAAATTCAAGCGTTTCGACAATCGCTTCATTCGCCCGCTGCTGATCCGAGATCTCAAGGTATTATTTAAGATTAAGTATAAAATTTATATAGAAACCGCAACCTAAAACTGCCACTCAGGAGGTGAATGAATTTCATTTACTGGATCGCATTCCCATGCAAAGCTATGAGCGTGATTTGGACAAGAGTAAGAGAATAAGAAGTTCCCAGGATTTACAGAACTCAAGAACTCGAATGCAGCGTCGAGATGCAAGCATTCCCAACCGAATAAAGTCCGTCAAGATCTCATACGAAGAAGATGATATTTAGTAATAAGTTTGAATATATAATAGTAATCTTTTCTTTAAAACACGTTTTATATAATATTTTGTTCAGGGCGCTGAGCCGAAGATCATTGAGACGTACTCCAAACTGACAATGCGCGATGCCATGGAGGTGATGAGACGGAATCCATCGACCATTGGCCAGATGACGGGCACTGAGTCATGAGCGCCCTGTTCCGGAACTATACCAATAACTATATTGGCGGCAGGTGGGCACCGCCAACCATATACACCACATGGTAAACGAATTTTGGATTGAATATGAATTGATATCGATACACTTGCCTGTACTCACACCGAAATGATCGTATATATATTGCATGAGTACGAAATAAATTCCAAATTAAATGTAGTACAATTTGATCGAAACTGTAGCATGAAACTGCACAAAAGTATAATTTTTAAAACCAAAATTGGCCACTAACACAATTGAAAAACACAATTTAATGAGAGGTGTCACAAAATCTGTAGTCAAACATTTAAATTTAAATGTTTGTTTTGATATCTAACACAGTAGAAAACAGTTGTTAAGATTTTTGAACCATTTACTTTTCTAATTATTTGAACTTGCAATAATTCATATATACTTTAAATACTACAAATAACTAGTCATTTTAATAATTAATAGTAAACTCAGTTGAGCTATTCTTTGGCATTTTCTCTAAGTCACAAAATGCGCAAAGCGAAATTATACAAATATTATTTTAGGAAACAGGAATATTTTTAGTTTAGTTATGATAAACTTTAATTTCCCAAAGTTCCTATAGATTTCAATGTGCACCTCTATTATATTCTTAACATTGTCTTTCTGCATATATCTGAAATTCGTTTAACCACTTTTTTTATATTTTCTTCAACTTAATATGTACTGTATCTCTTCCCCTAATTAATTATTTACTAATACCCATTTGCTTCAACTTTTTAGTCCCAGTCTGACAAATCTAGACAATACTTGTTCGCGTAATCTGGACATGGCTGAGCTGGATTACAATCCATCCAAGAAGGATCTGACTGATGCCAAGATCCATCATCTGTTGGCCGAAGAACTGAAGCCTTATAGAAGGGTATGTACTATGACATATACGTATATTTCCCTATCACTCTTTTGTAATAATCAAATTTTGGTTGGATATTCTATATAGCAAAAACAGTTAAACTTTAATTATCCCCCCAAAAAAAAAAAACAAAAATGATTTATCACGCAGCCCAAAAGTCTTTGCCTTTCCTGTTTCTTTTCATTAATATTTGATATTTGTCAAACTGTCACTGAAAGGGTCGTGTTATGCCAAGTTCTACTGTAACATCACATCGAATTTTCCTTTCTGTTCTGTACTTTGGGCATTTAGTTTCCTCACACACTCTCTCTACGCTTCTTGCTCTGAATATATATATGAATATTGATGGCCAAAACGCTCTGACTCTACATATGAATAATATAGATATATGTATATCAATATATATTTGTAATTAATCGTTTATTTAATTTCTTTCCCGTTGTTTCGATAACTCAACATCTCTCAACTTCTCGACAACAACGTGTCAATAAAATATAAATCGAAATCGCTTCAAACTTTCGTGTGCTAAAAAAAAACAAAAAATATAACAAAATTTCGATAAAATGTCGATAATTTTGAAAAAATATCGCGATAAATAAAGGCTTCAATACAAATGGTACGAATAATTGGTTTCTGTTCTAATTAATTTGATCTGTTTCTTGGTTCATTTTGATAAACTCCTTTGAATTAACAAATATGAAACCTTTGTTAATGTTACACGTTGTGTGTCTGTACTACTTACTCTTTGACTGCAAAAAATTATTTAGTTCAACCTTCTAAATGTGTCTTCTAATTGGTGTCTTGATAATATGTTATAATCTTTAAATAATGCTAAACTAATTTATTTAAAAGAACGCAAAGCTTAATTCTGACCCTTAACCATTTATAGTTGAAGGATTATGAAGGCCTTTAAAAAAAACATATACCCTTGAACTATCTATATTTTCGACTAATATAATAAGCCAATAATTTGTGTAGTGAAAATTACAAACAAAATAAATATACGAAAGTAAAAATATATGCAATTCTTTGAAATATTTGTTGTTTAAAAAATCGTTATAAAGCTGGATTCTTAGCCGATATATAAAAAACCCCTTATTACATTTAAAGAAAAAGTAGAAAAAACATTTAAGACTTGCCACCTTTTAAAGTAATTTTTGAGTAAATTAATACAATTTTAAAATAAATATTAAATACCTTTAACTACTACTTTTTTTTGCCAATGCCTAAATGTTTATTGTATAATGTAATGTTAACATTTACAAATAACACAATTTATTACAAAATATATTTTAACACAAATACAACAAACACAATTTAATAAAAATACATTAACATTAAAATCAGAATGTTTTTTAATAACATTTATTTTTATTTGAAATTCCCAATTCCTTATTAATATTATAAAGCACTTTGATTTTACTCGAATAAGACCACAAAAACTACACCGAACACTGAATAAATATCTTGTCTGCCTATATTTGTTGTGTTCACAATTATATATTTATATTATATCGTAAAGAAATATGATATTTGTGGGATGGAAGGATCTTAACTAGGCCGAGCACTTGATTCAATATTAATCTCTACTCATAAGATGTACAAATGTTTATGGAAAGCCGTTTACACTTAATCAGTTGTTGTTTTTTGTGCAAATTAATCGTAATTTATATACTACTCCATACTATATGTATCTGTCCTATATTGCAATTGCAAAGTAACTCTTAAGCTACTTACATCTCTCTATCTCTATATTATATCATTGCGCTGGCATTTTATGATTTTTGAAACCTAATTTGCTCCATCCGATGTTTTTACAGCACCGTCGTCTTAGTTATAGCCGACACGCAGTAGATGACAGAGATTTGTCCACACAGGTGAGTAGAGAGCCACAAAACACCAACCAACCAGCAATAACTTGCATCTCCTAACTTGGCTAAAAACTATCTCAAAAAAGTATAATTCAATTACAATAATATTATATCCTCTCTCTTTCAGGTCAATTACAAAATGCAAATGAATTTCCGGCGTATGTTCAACGATCGCAAACATCACAAGCGCAGCAAACGTGGGGCCAGCAATAAGGTGAGGCATCTTGTTAATATTATCTCTCTCATAAGAAACCTATTTTAATGGATATCCTTTCGCATTATCCTTAGGAGGCCAAGGAGAATGTGAAGCAGAATCATGTCTCGTTCCATGATTTCCAACAGAACGGCACCACCAAGCAGCTCACCAATGGTACGGATTCGAGTTCAAACCATTCACGAAAAAAATCTTACAGAAAAAGACATACTCACAATTCACTTAACAAATATCGTAGATTAGAAATAGGTAAATGACGCTAAAAACAGCAAAATTAAATTTTTAATCAAAAATTTAAACAGACAACAAAATCATGTTGTAGAGTACCTCTCAAATCGAATTGGTTGTAGCTTTCTATTTTATTTCTTAATCTTTCTTTTGTTTAGACAGCTTAAGAACTCTTAAGTTTGTGGAGAAATTAATGTAGTGATTTTTTAGTTTTAAATCTAGTTTCATGCGTCATTCTAACCTAATTCATCACCTAAACTTTATGTTTTAGTTGTGACTCTACTAAAAACTATTTTATTTTAGTTTCTAAACTATGAGGGGTGTCACAGAAAATGCCAAGAGTTTGAAAATCAATTTTAAAATAGTCTAAAAGGAGGAAAATAAACATTTAAGTGTTATACTTTAAATGTATTTAAAATTCTAAATAATTTCTAAGGCACCCCTCTGTATTAAATGCATGTTGAAGAAGTTTGCCAGGTGTTAAATTAATACCTTGCAACTTTTCCAAAACCCATTCCTCAAAATTAATTTAAAATAAGAAAATCGATTGGAAATCATTTATATTTAATTGGTAACTAATTTGTTTTCTACCAAAACCTTCTCTTTTTCTTCCCCGCATCGCTCACCTTCCAAATTGATGGCAATTAAAATAAACTACACTAAAATACAATGCAAAAAAACCCTCACACACAATTGGCAAAATAAAAACTGAACCAAAATTTGTGCACTAAACCAAAAAAAAAAAAAAAAAAATACAACAACACTCATAATATTCTAATGCCTGCGATCATTATTTAAATATTTGTTAAACTTAACCCAACTGCAAATGCTAAAGACTATATTAACAATGTGCTTAATGAAACAGCCGAGGATTGCCAACAGAATCCCAACGAGATCAATGTTGTTGGCCCCAGCGACGATTGGGATGATGGCCTGACCTTCACCGCCAAATCATCACGTAAGTGTTCTCATTACTCTCTCTCCCAGCCCCCATGATGTGTGTAATTATTAACACTATTTTTATTTTTTGTAACTAACATTTGAGTTTGTGGAGAGGTTGTCTACATTGAGCATAGGCAGCCCTTTTAGGTGACTTTCGGTTTCCTCTTCTTTAAGACACACAAATTTCTAGTTTGATATAAGATTCCTTTAAAAAGGTACCTAATAGTATATCATAGACACCTTTTAAAAGATTTAAATCTCTAGAAATTTGTGTACAAGTCTCCTCATTTATTAAACTTGTAATCAGATCAGTCATATGGCAATATCTGATATTTATTATCCATCCAAGCCACCAAAAAACTTGTTCGACTTGTTTGTTTTGTTCAGTACACACAAAAATGCCATCATTTTATATACAACTTTTCTTTGCCAAAAGAAATGAAAGCAATCTTCAAAGGTTTTACAAGTATCTGTACATATATATATATATAAATAGTTGAGTAGACTGAACAAGGTTTTTGTAGTAGGTAAATATAATAAATAAAAGCACAAAGACAAAGCTTTGCTAGTCCTTTTTAGTTGATTTTTTCTCTTAACCACTGTTAACTTTCTGTTTTTTATTGTACTTCTGCATTAGTTTTGTTGATTCTAAACTCTTAAGGAGAACCTAAATAAAAGCTATAACAACGAACTTTCTATATATATTTTTTTCTTGTTTTATGCCTTCCCAATTATTTCACTTACAAAATACAAAAAAAAAAAAAAAAAAAAAAAAAAAAAAATAAAATAAATAAAAAAATGTTGCTGGGCGCAAACGAATGTACGAAAAAACTTAAAAACAATTACGATTAGCTGACTCGGATCGCGCCAATAACAATTCCCTGATAGCCCACATCCAAAACCTGCCCGGCTTCGATGCCTCCAAGGCGCGCATCGTCGTCCAGCACTATGCCCCGCGGGTCGACGACAGTCCGGAGCCGGAGTTAGACTCACCGGACCAGGCCGTCGGACCCACGGCCGCCGAGCTGATATTGCCATGGCGGCGGGATCGTTCATACCAGAGCATTGGTAAAGGAATCGCACAGAGTCACATCAGACATCACCAAGTTCAGATCATGTTTCATCAGCAACAAAACATTTACAATAACATTTTCAGTACAGTTTTTGGATTAGAAAGCTTCACGCACTCCTTTGATCTTTTTATCCTTAGATTTTCTTCATTAAATCTTTCTAGTTAGAAAATTAAAGGGAATTTTGCTTAATATTTCATTGAATTTTAGCTCAGAACTATACGTATTGCTTAATTTATTAAGAAGAAATAAGGAAGAACATATATTTACAAGGATATCATTCTTAAAGTTTCAGAATTGAAATGTTTCTTAATAAAGATTAAAATTGTTTGAACTAATACATAAATATAATAATCTGGGCTGGCTAATATCTTTCGTATCCTTAAGACTGTAAAGCTTAGAAACTTAACCGAAACCTAGATTCAATTAATGTATAATTTAAGCATAGCCGGAAAGTTATATTCAGGCACTTAAAGAAACAATTTCAAACCGCAAAATATCTTTCTTAAAGCCTAGAGATAATAGAGCCTTATATAGATAGACATAAATACTTGAGTAAACATTTGTTATGTACCAACACCCTCTCTTAAGTCTCACACAATTACACCACTCTCTCTGTTCATTTACCAATCCATTAAGTGTACTTTGACCTCATATAAAGCCAGTCATTAACTCGTTTATAGAGTGCCTTAAGCTTAGTTCAATATCAATCGTATTTTGTGCTCAGCACTTTGCGCGATTATCTTGTTTCTTCCGTTCCGTTCTGAGTTAATCCATTTGAGTTAATCATTTTAGTGCCTAAAACTATTATTTACTTTAACTCGATTGAATCCGATATATCTATTTTAGCCATGCTAAGTGTTGCCTAGACGTAGCTGCCCATCTAATTACCAATAGTTGTCATTACATTGTGTTCGTGCGTCGTCGTTTAACGTCAAATTGCTCGTAGAAGTCGCTAGTCTCTAGTTTCCACCACGAATGCAGTTCAATTGCCAAGTTACTTATTGCCAAATACAAAAGCTCGAAATTACCTGCATTTTAGAACCATCAAACTTACCTAAAACCAATTTGAAAAGTCGTCACTTATTAAAACAATAATTGCGATCAACAAATTTATAAAAAAAAGAGTACGAAATGTCGAAACAAAGCATGGCATTTTTGTGCATGACCAAATTTATTCTTGCCTTATTTTTATGAAACATTATTTATTTTCTTAGTTTTATGACCCCCTAAAAACAAATAAATAAGAATGAAACTAAACAATGACTAGGGGAGAATATAAATTAGTAGGTGACAGTATTTTGTGTACTTAAAATAATGTGGATCGAAGCTTAAAATATGCACAATCTTTGAATCGATATTTCTCGATATATTTAAATGACAATTTTTTGGAGAATGCAAAGTCGAAAAAAATCTCATAACTAAGCCAAAAATGTTTTAATTTTAATTGGGACACCATTCCTATATTAGTTTTTAGTAACATAGGTTAACAAATCTGCATAGTCAAATTAATGTTTTTAAAAATTAAATTTTTTTGTCAAATTTTTGATAGTTTTAACGATGTAACCCCTTATAAAATTTGCAAAAAATGAAAAATTTTGAAAATATTAAATTTTTGTCGAACATAGCTAGATCGACTCTCCTGTTTATTCTGATCACTGCGTTTCAAGAGTCTGATTAAAATTATAATACCCTGCAAGGGTATACAAATAATAATACATATTAAAAATACAAATATTTGGACATACTTTATATATATACTGGGAATACTACAGAAATGACTAGGACTTAAAAATCTTTTAAAAGGAATTTATACTTGGTGGTTTGTGTATATTATAGGGTTTCCAATCTCCTAAGTGTTAAACCCTTTACTGATTAGAATAACCCTAGGTTTTTATTTATTATTTTTCTTTTCCTGTGTCTTTCCAATTTTCCTTGAGTTTTGCGCACTTTGTTTGTCTATTTGCCCTTTTTGACTGTGTTTCTTTTTCCATCAACTGCGTTTTCTGTTTCCAATTTGTTGACAATATTCCCCTAAATTTGGACAACACAAAATAAAAATAAATTCTCCCCCAAAAGCAACAGCTTTAAGCGAACCAATGCCAAGAGCTGCATGCAAAAGCCTTTAGAATGATTTATCCAATTAATTTCTCCTATATTTCAATGGTTTTTATAATTTCTATAATTTTCCATTTGCAATCTAGTGGCGGAGCATCCAATACCCGAGGAGGATCGCAATTTGTCCCGCGAATCCGATGGCGAGAGACGAGTGGCCACACCCACGGCCACGGAATCCCAATTGCCTTGGAAGCGTCAGGGTGACGAGTGTACGGATGCAGTGCAGCAGAACGAGTTCCCGGCCTGGGCCTCCAACAAGGAGTACTTGGCCTACAACTCGCCCAGTGCAACATTCCTAGGTAATGTATAAATTGAATTGCATTTTGATTTAGGTTTTTCCAGGAAAAGAGTATCTGGAGGGGATTCTCCTCCAACAAGAACACACCACAATTTCCATCTGGTTATTGAGGGGCTTAGGGCTCTCTCTGTCTCTCCTATGATTGTTCTTACCCATATTGAATATTCATGTCCTCAGTTGATTACTGTTTATAAATTGGCTAAAAGAAAAACAATTGTCGGCACAGAGAGAAAACATGTGGAAAAAGCTCATTACTAAATTTACATTCTACTATAATTCCAATCAAGTTTATCTCTCTGTGGCAGTAGTTTTGTATTATATCGATCCGTCAGTATATATCTGAATCAGTGTATATATAGTTTACTCGTTTCCATTAAGAGCACCAAAGTGAAACAAGAAAATTGTAACCAAGAATCGATGACAAAATTGCACCCCATTTCTATTGTGTGTGTGTGTTTTTTGTGATTTCTTCTACGTTGATTTTGTTGTGATTTTTCCTTAACTTTTTCCTTTTTTTCTTTCTCTCTTCTCCCCCGCATTGTTTTCCTTCGGTAACTGTTGCCCACAACCACAACCACAAAACGACACCAATGTATACGAACACCCTGTAAAAAAAAAAACACTCCAACTCCAACGATGAATCCAAAAACCCTCAAAAAAAAAAATAAAGGTGGTATAAACAAGCCTAAACAGCCCAAGTCCGTCATAGGTCTCTTCCGGCGAGAGAGTTCCAGCTCCAAGGCCGGCAGCGTGGGCATTGGTAGTTCGGGAGCCGTGGATTCCGGCAGCTCGGATGCCATGGTTGTGCCTCTGTCCGCAGGACAAACGTCCGTTGTCCCATCGACATCCTCCTCCATGCACAATCCTCGTCTGGACAAGCGGTCTCAGTCAATATCGTCGGGTTCGCTTGGTGCCGGACCTGGGGCTGGAGCTGGAGCCCATCAGCTTGGTCCGGAAGGCCATTCGGGACCATTTCCGGTCACGGCAAGTCATCGTAGAATGTGCGAAGAGGTTCCATGCTGGAGCTAAGCGGGTAAGTTACTCTTTTTTCCACCTGGTCAGACACCAATGAAAAGAAAAAAACTACACCTAATTGTCTGGTCTATTGATTTTGTGCCTATATTCATCAAGTTGTTTTGGGTCTTTTTTATTTGTGACTGAAATGGGTCTTTAGTGGGTGGTTCTCATGGAATATATTAAAAGGATATCAGATAGCGAAAAATCAACAAAAAAAAAGTAAAAAAGTTATTTAAAATATTTAGGTTGATTTAAAATTTTACACCAATTGCGAAAATTGTTTCAGTTAAATACAAATATATTGTATAATATATAAATACTTATTCTTTGGTTTTATAAATTACTTTAAAAATATTTTTTCTAATGAAAAATCATTAAAAGTCATGAAATGTAAATACTAAACTTCTTGGTCCTTTTTTTCTTATTCAAGTTAAATAGATTCCATTTTACTTAAAGGATAATATACCTATCTCCTTAAACCCTGACTTTAAACCCATTTCAGTTGTATCACTATCATAATCATGCTTGTAAATATTAACTTTAGCTAACATTAGTAATCAAACATAACATTTTCGTTTTCTGTTTATATTTTAACTCGATTTACTATAAACTCTTTTTTTGTTAGCGCTTTTTAGAATATTAGAAAGTGTTTTGAAACGCTATTCAATAAGTATTGGAATATAAAGTAATCAACAAAATTAGGTCTCTAAAATATATATTTTTTTTGCATGAAACGCTTTTATGAAATTTTCTATAATTTAGCTTAGAGTTTTTCAGCAGTGTGATCTGGCTCGGTTAATCTTAACCATTCTCAAATGTCAAAAATACCAATCTGTTTCCTTTATGGACTCTCCCTTGCTTTAAATTAGATGAAAGGCTTCCTTCCTTTTGATGTGTTCAACCTTTCAAACCCAAAACTTTTTCAAAAGAAATGCCGTTCTCTTCCTGCTAAATATTTAAAAATTTCGCTTTAATGTTGCTAATATCCACTTTAATCGTCTTTTGTTGCACCCTTTTTCCGCCAAAGTGAAACGTTGCTTAAATTTAATTTATCCACACCAACAATTGCCAAAGTAATTTCCTTAGGTTTAAAATCAATTGAAAAATCGACCAAAGATGTGCTATATCACACTTTTGTGGATATTTGATATGGGTTTTAAAATCTTTAGCAATTACTTTGCCTTATGCCTTTGTGGATTTTCCTGTCGTTTGAGCTTCTTCTCGTCTGTGTCTTTTATTGTGATGATTATTTTACAGACTCATTGCAACTGGACGCAGGCCCAGTAGAATTTTGCAATTTAGTCCGGGAGCCACTAATTTACTAGAGTCAGCCAAGATCACAACTCCTTCTCCTCCACATCCTTCTACTTCTACTTCAACAACAACAACAACTACAACAACAGTAAAGACAGCCACCAAGAACACCACCAACAACTCAACAGATACCACATCGGGCAGCGGGACTAACTCGTCACCCGCATCCCCAAGATCGGAGGATAGCGACACCATCCAGTACTATCCAAAGTAAAAATCTCGAAAGAAAATGTCTTGAGTGCAATCCAAACCGGCCATTATATCGAATTTCGAACTCTGTGAACTAAGAGACAATGCTAAACTTACACATATACTAGCGTACATATATTTACTCTGAATACTAACCTCACGATCTTTATATATACGTATATATATATATAGAGTACATATATTGTATATATACAAGATACACAGATCAGAGCATATCATTGTAGAGTAACGATATCAATATCAGTCCTTGTAGGTTTGAAACTTTGCTAGCGATCTCTATCCTCATCTCAGCTGGAATTGGTATATATCTCTTTCTAAACTTTAATCGATTTCCTCGAAATTCTCTTGCAATTGGATTTAAGCTTCATTCGCACTCACACCGAGCTCCTAACTGGCCTACCCACAAATTGCACTGTATATATTTGAAATTAGGATGTTGTTTATTGGTGATCGATTCAGTGTCAGGAAATCGCTACTATCATTCAAAAAGATCACAAATTATACTGGGCTGCTAAACATATTTCATTTTATGTTGCAATTTTTAGTCGCTTAGCATGCATTCTACGTATAGCAGTGGTATAAATGTTGTATAACAGTTTAAGATTAAATAAATCTCTTAAGAAACATTTTCTCGCAGTATAATGAATTATCAGTTGTATAACAGTTATGCCACTCTTATAACATTATTTTTAGTAAGCCAAAATCCATGTTTTTACATCAATTCTTATGTTTTTGATTGTCCTATATGTGTATTTGTGTTTTATATTACCAACATGTCTGCAATATATCGGTTCCTAACCAAATAATTAACCCAACCTAAGCAAATGCAATGCAATTTCTAAAAACAATTAACAATTACCAAACAAAAAAAATTGACTTCAAATAAATTGCCACACATAATGTCTGCCGTGCTGTGTTTCTTTGTTTCCTGATTTTATTCCCAACCAAAATCCAAAAAGGAAAACAATAACTAAACCAAGGTCTAACTAATAACAAAATGCTAATGATTAATTGACCAGATTGATTGATTGGCAAACGATTTGACGTAAAATTATATATTCTTTTAGCGGCGTCTCAATTGAATCTGATTAGACCAAACCGACGCGAAAATCAGCACAGAACCAGAGCACTTAACTAGCTAAAAACACACACTAAATGCACAAAAAAAAGCACACACACAAAACACACACTCGCACAACACACAAATGCACAAGCAACTGTTATACAGTTGAGCACCTGTGATAACTTCCTTAGACACAAATTTCTAAGTGTATCTTTAAATGGCTTTAAACACAAGAACTCTATATATGTGTAAGTATCAATCAGATAAAAAGTATCTTTCCAAATTGTGTGTGCCTGGGGCAGGCACAACTAACCATTAAACCAAGGACAATATAATAAATAAGATAAGTAAAGCCAAAGGATTGTTTTGGAGCTGGTTCCAGGCTCTTTTTAAATTATGTTGATAAAGATCAATTACTATCTTTTCATTATATTGTCTTTGACTGAACACACACCACTAAAACACTAATCTCCTGTGCTAATTGTTATTTATTATCTCTTAATTGTTTACTTTACATTATGAAAATCCCAAGAGCGGACAACAAAGAAATTGTATTGTATTTACGAAACAAAAATCTTGTAGAAAATGTAGAAAATTAGAACTGTTATCTATATATATATAAACTGTGCCTTAAACTCGTCTTCCCCTTTATACGCTTACCTGTAAACTATTTATCTTCCATGTTTCTGTTTCATTTTGATTTGCCCTAACGTAGTGCTTAAAAAAATAAATGTGACCCTTACAAAGTGCTTTGATTTACTCTTTAACCTTAATTTTCCATAAGTTAAGACCTAGTCGTAATTAGTTGTAGCCTCATGCTAACCATTAACCCAAACCAAGTCCCAGAACCCAAACCGAATCATTAGACAAAATTGATCGCAACTATTGACATTAACTTTCTACGCCTTCTCTTCACATCATATTCCCTTCACCTTCGAACCACCGAAATCTACACACACTCCACACACAACATCGACAACATCGACACCACCGCCACCACCACCCACAGAGACACAATACCCGAGGAGTCGTCGTACCAGCACGGGCACTCCAAGTCCCTCTGCGAGCCGGCGGACACGGACGACTGGGAGGGAGCACCCCTGTCCGCCGCCGTAGCCGGCGGTGGGGCCAACAGCGAGCGAATGATGCATAGCGGCCGGGAGCCACTCCTGCCTCGTCCCTCCAATACGCCGCGTGCCCAGATTCGACGCATGAACGCCGGAGCGGTGGGTGGAGCAGCGGTTAGTTTGGCCGGACGAAAGAATCAAGTGACCAAGGCGCTGTTGGACTACGAGGATTCTGAAACGGATTCGGAGGAGAATGACGATGACGATGATGAGGATGAGGACTTTGATTCGTATGATGATGAGAATATTGTGGTTACCACCTTTACCACACCCGCTCCTAGCCGAAGGCCGGGCTCTAGTCCGGGATCGGATGCAACCACCACCACAACCACTAGCATTCGGCTGACCCGCAACAACGATGAGAGCATCATTTGAGTATCGAGCACGGATGGCGACGTGGAGGAGGATGCCCTGGAGGAGCACGAGGAGCTACCGAGGCCATCGACGCGTTCGCCGAGGAGTCTGTTCCCCTACGAGATGTTCTACTAGCCCCTGGACACACACATTTATATGATTAGTTAGTAAGCCCAAAGTTGACACTAAAAGAGAAGGAGTTGCTACATAGTTTCCCAAGAAAAAAGAGAAATGGTTTAAAAGAAAGCTTTATAATTAATTAACCAATTAGTTAAAACCAAATCAGAAGAGCAGCTTAGTTAAGACGGAAAATAGTGAGAGAATTGTATATAAACCCAATATTAAAACACAAATTAATTTTCTTCATTCTTTAAGCTTTTAAACTTTTAACTTCCAGTTTTGTGTTTAGTGTTTAGTCCCAAACAATTGTTAGTTATTCTTATGTACTACGTATATATATATACTTATATATAAAACGATTTAGTGATTACAGCTGATGTGTTCCAAAAATATATAGCAAGCAAGTAAATTAATTAACAAAAAGCATAGCCAAAGTTCATATTAAGTCTACGCACTAATGTTGATTTCGTTGTTTGTTTTAGTTTAGCCCAATAATGTACTAAGATTTAGGTCGCATTTTGAGAATGTGGTGCTAAAAACAGTACTTACAGCACGTACTTAGTTTGATAAAAAGTAGCAGAGTTTAGTTCAATTTTAGCTTTAGTTTATAAGTTAGGATGCCCAACTTCAGAAAACTATTAAAGCAGGCTCTTAATGTTTCAAAGTAATTAATTTCTAAATAGCCGAAGAGTCAGAACTAAGATGAAAGTTTTTCCCAACTGAAACTGTAGCTTAAATCTAAGCATTCATTGTCGTAGAAATAAACTTTAAATGCATTTGTAAAACATTTTAATTTTTTGTATTTAGAACAGTGACTGTTGAGGAAAACTTTCGCTGTGGAAAACTATAATATGTATACACAAACTAAGAGTAACTAAAATCGATGAAGGTAAATGAACAGAGTTATGTAATTTATAAATTATTTTTGTAAACATTTACGAACGATAAATAATATAAATTGTAACTTGACTAAAGGTGGGGAAAATGTTTAGAGCGAGCGAGTGTGAGAGTGCATGACTAGGATTGAGCTAAACCAAAGCATAAAAGTAAACATTAATATGCTCAAAATAAAAAGAGAAAACCAAAGTAAATTAAACACAAGATATAGATATATATAAATGCTGATGTAGATCTGAATGCGCATTAGGACACACAGAGAGCCAACTGGGAACACAGACACACAGTAGCCAACAGATCCGGAGGCGCAAATAGTTTCTGGGATTCCTACCTACCTAAAATATAAAATTGCGGGGACAAACAACTAAACAAGAAGTCGTAACAAAATCGTGGAAATACCTACCTACCACGAGCAATGCAAGATATATACAGTAAATATATATTTTCTAACTATAATTTAGTCATTCTAAACCTATGTCTTAAGTAGTTTATGTTCTATCCAAGAAATTGCCTTCTGAATATGCACACCACAGACACCAGTTTGAATTGGAACACATGAAATCCGATCCCCATTGTTTCTTCTACTTATTTCGATCCGAAAGACAATAAACAGCTTCAGGAGATGCCACAAGAAAGAGCTCTTGAAAATTGTCATTTCAATAAATCTAAAAATCTAAAATTCTTTAAAAGGAAAAACTAAACATGAAATATAAATCAGAGCTGTGTTAACCATTAAATATGAGCAGTAGGTTCTCCCATATAAAATTGAATTATTCGCAATCTGAATTACAAAAGAATTAAGCTGATTTCAAAGAACGGATTGTGGCCTAAACAATTTAAGTATTGGACAACGCTGTGGCTCATTAATAAATTACTTGCTTAAGTCTATAAAAAGAAACTAAAATTGAATTGAATTGATAAATCTATATCGAACAAAAGTGTGTTTGCAATTTTCATACCGTAGGCCTTAAGTTGTGCATACTTCAACAAATTGAATACAACAAAATATTGATAGCGCAAAAAAATAAAATTAAACCTAAAAACAACACGATAAAAACCCAAAAAAGAAAGAAATTGTAAATTGTTAAACTGATTTTAAATATTAAATAAGAAAAAATTTTACTAAAAATACAAAATAAAAAGAAAAAAGCGAAATAATAATTTAGAACGAGAAAGATTCTATTAATTTTGAGGGATTTTTGGGAACACGGCACATCTCTTCACCAGCAGCAGGACATGTGTCGCTGCTTCTTGGGCAACTGCCAGTCGGCAAGGACACTCCTGCCCACCAAACGATTGTCCTCGTCCTGGAGCATGGACTGTGCCATCTCCTCGGTGCACTCGAAACAAAAATAGGCACAACCCATCAACTGGCCATCGCTCCGCTTGCCAATGTGCACCGCCTGGATGATACCCTGGAGTTTGTTCTCGCCGGGCTCCGTCTGGTCACCCCGCCACTGGTGCCACAACCTTTGGATTCTATTGCCTTTTCTCTCACTGAAGCTTGGATTGGAATCTTCATGATGAAACCTCGGGACTATATTGACACTTGGATGGGAATCTTTTTCTTCCTGTCGCTGGAAGCCGTCTGCGGGCGGAAATATGGGAGGATTAGAACATCGATTTCCATTTTTTGAAAAAAAGGGCCGGATGTATCCAGAAACATTCGCCTATAGATGCTAATAAAACCATACTCAAGTTAAAATGTGAATTTTTGGCCGATTTTTGCAAATTTTAATGATGTAACCCCTTTCCTAATTTGCAAAAAATGGAAAATTTCTGAAAAATTTTTTTTCGGCCGAATATAGATGAAAAGTTTCCCCTGTTGATGCTGATCAAGAATATATATGATTTATAGGCTCGGAAATGGCTCCTTCACTTTCTTTTAAGCTCCTGACTGAAGGTGCAATCCCATTTTTTAATCGATATTAACTATATTTTTATATGCAAATTTTACTACAAATCAAAGTGTAAAAATGTCATAACTAAGCCAAAAATGCATTAATTTCAATTCAGAATGCGTTCGTTTCTTAATTTTTAGCAGGTTAATAAAACCATACTCAAGTTAAAATGTGAATTTTTGGCCGATTTTTGCAAATTTTAATGATGTAACCCCTTTCCTAATTTGCAAAAAATGGAAAATTTCTGAAAAATGTTTTTTCGGCCGGATATAGCTGAAAAGTTTCCCCTGTTGATGCTGATCAAGAATATATATGATTTATAGGCTCGGAAATGGCTCCTTCACTTTCTTTTAAGCTCCTGACTGAAGGTGCAATCCCATTTTTTAATCGATATTAACTATATTTTATATGCAAATTTTACTACAAATCAAAATTTAAAAAACTCGTAACTAAGCTAAAAATGCATTAATTTCGATTTTGAAAGCGTTTTTATATTTATTTTTAGCAGGGTAATAAAACTACTAATGATTTATAGGCTCGGAAATGTCTCCTTCACTTTCTTTTAAGCTCCTGACTGAAGGTGCAATCCCATTTTTTAATCGATATTAACTATATTTTTATACCCTTGCAGGGTATTATAATTTCAGTCAGAAGTTTGCAACGCAGTGAAGGAGGCACCTCCGACTATATAAAGTATATATATTCTTGATCAGGATCAACAGCCGAGTCGATCTAGCCATGTCCGTCTGTCCGTCTGTCCGTCTGTCCGTCTGTCCGTCTGTCCGTCTGTCCTTCTGTCCGTCTGTCCGTCTGTCCGTCTGTCCGTTTCTACGCAAACTAGTCTCTCAGTTTTGAAGCTATCTGAACGAAACTTTGTAGTTAGCTTTCTATATACTCTCACTCGTATATATGTCGGAACGGGCCGGATCGGACGACTATATCATATAGCTGCCATAGGAATGATCGGAAAATTTTTTTAAAAAAAATTTTAACTTTTTCAGTTTTCAATAGAATTGAATCAAATTTAAGATATAGCCATTTTCCTATACTCTACAATTTTGCATAAAATTTTATGAAAATAGGATTACTATATCATATAGCTCCCATAGGAACGATCGAGAAATTAATACAATTAAATTTATAACTTTTTTAGTTTTCAGCTGATTTTCATCAAATTTGAGGTATAGCCATTTTATATTAGTCTTAAATTTTGTGTCAAATTTCATGAAAATCGGACGACTATATCATATAGGTGCCATACAAACGATCGTTAGATGTAGAGGAATAATGCAAATCTGCGAATGTAAAACTGCAAATATAATATGTATAGGTGAATGAAATGAAAGCAGGTATTACTTCATTGTTTTTTAACACAAATAAATATAATTTATATTGTTGAGATTCCAAGTCATAGAAGTTATATCTGCAAGGGTATATAAACTTCGGCGTGCCGAAGTTAGCTTCCTTTCTTGTTATATGCAAATTTTAGTACAAATCAAAATTAAAAAACTCGTAACTAAGCTAAAAATGCATTAATTTCAATTCGGAAAGCGCTCGCATGTTAATTTTTAGCAGGTTAATAAAACTGCATACTCCATTTAAAATTTGAATTTTGGCCGATTTTTGCAAATTTTAATGATGTAACCCCTTTCCTAATTTGCAAAAAATGGCAAATTTCTGAAAACAATTTTTTTTGGCCGGATATAGCTGAAAAGATTCCCCTGTTGATGCTGATCAAGAATATATATGATTTATAGGCTCGGAAATGGCTCCTTCACTTTCTTTTAAACTCCTGACTGAAGGTGCAATCCCATTTTTTAATCGATATTAACTATATTTTTATATGCAAATTTTAGTACAAATCAAAATTTAAAAAACTCGTAACTAAGCTAAAAATGCATTAATTTCAATTCGGAAAGCGCTCGCATGTTAATTTTTAGCAGGTTAATAAAACTGCATACTACATTTAAAATTTGAATTTTTGGCCGATTTTTGCAAATTTTAATGATGTAACCCCTTTCCTAATTTGCAAAAAATGGCAAATTTTTGAAAACAATTTTTTTTGGCCGGATATCGCTGAAGAGATTCCCCTGTTGATGCTGATCAAGAATATATATGATTTATAGGCTCGGAAATGGCTCCTTCACTTTCTTTTAAACTCCTGACTGAAGGTGCAATCCCATTTTTTAATCGATATTAACTATATTTTTATATGCAAATTTTAGTACAAATCAAAATTAAAAAAACTCGTAACTAAGCTAAAAATGCATTAATTTCAATTCGGAAAGCGCTCGCATGTTAATTTTTAGCAGGTTAATAAAACTGCATACTACATTTAAAATTTGAATTTTTGGCCGATTTTTGCAAATTTTAATGATGTAACCCCTTTCCTAATTTGCAAAAAATGGCAAATTTTTGAAAACAATTTTTTTTGGCCGGATATCGCTGAAGAGATTCCCCTGTTGATGCTGATCAAGAATATATATGATTTATAGGCTCGGAAATGACTCCTTCACTTTCTTTTAAGCTCCTGACTGAAGGCGCAATCCCATTTTGTAATCGATATTAACTATAATTTTATATGCAAATTTTACTACAAATCAAAATTTAAAAAACTCGTAACTAAGCTAAAAATGCATAAATTTCGATTTGGAAAGCGTTTTTATATTTATTTTTAGCAGGGTAATAAAATGCTAATGATTTATAGGCTCGGAAATGTCTCCTTCACTTTCTTTTAAGCTCCTGACTAAAGGTGCATTCCCATTTTTTAATCGATATTAACTATATTTTTATATGCAAATTTTAGTACCAATCAAAATTTAAAAAACTCGTAACTAAGCTAAAAATGCATTAATTTCAATTCGGAAAGCGCTCGCATGTTAATTTTTAGCAGCTTAATAAAACTGCATACTCCATTTAAAAGAAAAAATTTTACTAAAAATACAAAATAAAAGAAAAAAGCGAAATAATAATTTAGAACGAGAAAGATTCTATTAATTTTGAGGGATTTTTGGGAACACGGCACATCTCTTCACCAGCAGCAGGACATGTGTCGCTGCTTCTTGGGCAACTGCCAGTCGGCAAGGACACTCCTGCCCACCAAACGATTGTCCTCGTCCTGGAGCATGGACTGTGCCATCTCCTCGGTGCACTCGAAACAAAAATAGGCACAACCCATCAACTGGCCATCGCTCCGCTTGCCTATGTGCACCGCCTGGATGATACCCTGGAGTTTGTCCTCGCCCGGCTCCGTCTGGTCACCCCGCCACTGGTGCCACAACCTTTGGATACCCTTGCAGGGTATTATAATTTCAGTCAGAAGTTTGCAACGCAGTGAAGGAGGCACCTCCGACTATATAAAGTATATATATTCTTGATCAGGATCAACAGCCGAGTCGATCTAGCCATGTCCGTCTGTCCGTCTGTCCGTCTGTCCGTCTGTCCGTCTGTCCTTCTGTCCGTCTGTCCGTCTGTCCGTTTCTACGCAAACTAGTCTCTCAGTTTTGAAGCTATCTGAACGAAACTTTGTAGTTAGCTTTCTATATACTCTCACTCGTATATATGTCGGAACGGGCCGGATCGGACGACTATATCATATAGCTGCCATAGGAATGATCGGAAAATTTTTTTAAAAAAATTTTAACTTTTTCAGTTTTCAATAGAATTGAATCAAATTTAAGATATAGCCATTTTCCTATACTCTACAATTTTGCATAAAATTTTATGAAAATCGGACTACTATATCATATAGCTCCCATAGGAACGATCGAGAAATTAATACAATTAAATTTATAACTTTTTTAGTTTTCAGCTGATTTTCATCAAATTTGAGGTATAGCCATTTTATATTAGTCTTAAATTTTGTGTCAAATTTCATGAAAATCGGACGACTATATCATATAGGTGCCATACAAACGATCGTTAGATGTAGAGGAATAATGCAAATCTGCGAATGTAAAACTGCAAATATAATATGTATAGGTGAATGAAATGAAAGCAGGTATTACTTCATTGTTTTTTAACACAAATAAATATAATTTATATTGTTGAGATTCCAAGTCATAGAAGTTATATCTGCAAGGGTATATAAACTTCGGCGTGCCGAAGTTAGCTTCCTTTCTTGTTATATGCAAATTTTAGTACAAATCAAAATTAAAAAAACTCGTAACTAAGCTAAAAATGCATTAATTTCAATTCGGAAAGCGCTCGCATGTTAATTTTTAGCAGGTTAATAAAACTGCATACTCCATTTAAAATTTGAATTTTTGGCCGATTTTTGCAAATTTTAATGATGTAACCCCTTTCCTAATTTGCAAAAAATGGCAAATTTCTGAAAACAATTTTTTTGGCCGGATATAGCTGAAAAGATTCCCCTGTTGATGCTGATCAAGAATATATATGATTTATAGGCTCGGAAATGGCTCCTTCACTTTCTTTTAAACTCCTGACTGAAGGTGCAATCCCATTTTTTAATCGATATTAACTATATTTTTATATGCAAATTTTAGTACAAATCAAAATTAAAAAAACTCGTAACTAAGCTAAAAATGCATTAATTTCAATTCGGAAAGCGCTCGCATGTTAATTTTTAGCAGGTTAATAAAACTGCATACTACATTTAAAATTTGAATTTTTGGCCGATTTTTGCAAATTTTAATGATGTAACCCCTTTCCTAATTTGCAAAAA